CAAGAAACCTATTACGGCCAACAGCATGGCTGACCTATAGAAGAAAGAATATTTGCCTTATTTCCTATGCCTATTTTACACCATCGTAAAGTTTAAGATACTCAGTTTTGAGTGGTTCACTGAAAATCGCGAAGTAGGCTTTGATAATAAAAACATCAGGCTGTATAACCGGATCGGAACACATGTGGGCAAAGGACTAAGTTCCACAAGTTTATTGTAAACCGTTAAATTTTACAGCTCCGCATAAGCTGAGTGGTGATTCAAAGATTATATAATCAGATACTCTTTCAATGTTTTATCCGTATAGATAGGTAAAATATATTAGAAACGTAATTGTTCATAGCATAATTAGTAAATTATTTGGTGTGTTAACATGTTAATAACCAAATAGTTATTTCTTTATAATGCTCATCAATAATGATAACATTTGATATAAACAAAACTTTTGTAATGGACCCACTCGTATTACATTTCAATAGGCTTTGGGTGGTGGTTCAAATTTAAGTGGCTTACTATAAGAATCACTCGGTTGTGCGAATCTAAAGTACATAGATGATTATATGTTTTCTTACGAAAATATTATGGAAGACTTCTTTTGGCGCGTTAGGAAAAAATGATGTGAGTAAATTTTTACTATGCGCGCGCACACCGTCAACAAAAAAAAAACAAAAATCCGACACCCTGAAGTTAGCTATAGTCGACATTTTTTTGAAGTTATACGTCTTGGTGCGTTAGGGAAAAATTATGAGAGTATTTTTTTTTCTATTGATAGTGTCGTTCTTTCTACAAACGTAGAATAAGGCGAAAGATAAAAATTTTCAAAAGATTTTTATCTTCTTACGCCAAAGAAGTATAACATCTAACGCGTGTACATAAGTACACACACGTTTTTTTAATCAATATTTATCAAAATAAATTATGGTGCATATATCATGGCCCAAACGTAAAATTGATCGATTCAGTAAATGTTTAACCGTAAGTAATGGACATGACATCAACGTTTAGTGATTGAAATGTATCAGTAGATAATAGAAATATACAATAAATTCGCGGTTACATCCGTTAAAGGACGCCTATAGAAATGTGTAACTCGCGTAGCCCAAAAGCAATTTAATATAGTGACTGTTATTAATATATCTGAAAACATAAAATAATCTTTGCCCACACACTGACCACAGGCGAATTTTACGTTGGCCAACCTTTTCTTTTTATCTCGCAAAGTTGGTAACTCTCGCAACATCCGCTTGCATTTTAGTATATGCTTTTATTGCAATAAAAGTTTATACACAATTTTCAACTCTTAATTAAATATGTGTATCGTAACATTATCTAGAAAACACATTTAGTTAAATAAGATTATTAAAATTTAATGAAAAAAATTATGAAGAAAACATTTTAAAACTGTCAAACAAGTCGCACTATTCATAATTGAATCAATGATTAAAATGACTGCCGATATATCACAGAATAAGAACAGTATTGGTCTAGTGGCTTCAGCATGACTCTTATCTCTGCCAAAAAAGTGTGCACCATGGACTTTCTATCTTCTCGTTCAACATTCACTCGTACGGTCCAGGAAAACATCATGAGGGGCAGGCTTTGGGCCCAAAAAGTCGTCGGCGTGTCAGGCACAGAATGCTGGTCACCTACATTCCTTTTAGAAAAAAAAGAAATCATACAAAATTCTGAGAAACCCCAAAAAGGTTTTACTCGAAGCGTTACTGTTTTTTTTAATATGATATCAGAAAATTGTAATAAAACAGGCACGGTATAGAGAAAAAAATAACTCATATCATTTAGATACGTATCATGAGGTTATCAAATAAACATTGGTTGGTTTTTAATTTATAAAGTTTTGTAAATTTATATAATGACAGACTTCACCAAATCAATCAATTTTTTTCTCCATTCCGCCATCCTTGCGCTACTTATATTTATAAAATTTTATGTTCTTTTTCTGTTTCTTAAAATAAAATTAAATAACAATTGAAATATACAATATTTGCTAAACTAAAAAAACATATTAATTATTAAAACATATATATTAAAAAGACAAGTTTACTTGTTTCAGTAGTTTCGATGACTAGGTATTTGTGAATATTTTATTTTTGTTCACAGTTTAAGACATAAACAGAATCCAGCCCATTGTTAATTACTATGCCATTAAAGACATCTGACAATGCTGTATTACTGAGCAGCACGTGGCGCCCATTACATAATACAATAAAATTCAATTACTACACTATACCGCGAATATATATTCTTAAACGATAACATTTCGGCTTTGATGCATAATGCCTAAAATTATAGTAAATTATCGAGAAGATTAAAGTGTATTTATAGGTATATAGTGTTTTAAAAGCTCTAAAGTATTAAATTACAACAGTTCTTACAGGCAGATCAGACTTACAAGCAGATCAAGCGATGCAAGTGAAACTTTATAGGCTATACTCTCCGAAGAGATTCATATCCCAAAGCAAGCGCTCAATTGTAACCCGCAAGCAAAGCGGAAGTGTTGCCCTCCCAAGCAAACCTGACGACGTATAGACGACGTACAGATGAGGCAAAAAGAGTTGGAAAAACTTGGAGCGAAATGAAATTTAGAGCTCAAGACCGAACGCGATGAAGGACTGTGGACGCCTACTGCCCCATCCAGGAGTCATAGGAGATTATGTAGTATTTCTTGTATTAAGCCGTGGACTAGAGAGAATGAAACGTGATAATTTTTTATATACATTAAAGGTATTATTTTATTTATTTATTTATTTATTATATTCATGATCTTAAATAGAAAGAAGTTGGTGTGGTGGAAACAAACTGGACACAGTTTTTCTGTCCACCAGGACGTCGAACATATTTAAATAATTAACTTATTACATACTTAGGCCAGTGACATACTATACAATATAACATTTTTACCATTAAACCATCAAAATTGCACGAACAACGTAATAAACCAATTGAAAACATTGACGCTCCACAGTTAGCCGATGCAAGAAACCTGTTCTTGACGAGAATTCTCATTCGAATACAGGATGTGTTTCAATATTCGAATATGAATTAAATGACGATGTCTGATTTTTGTGATGCATAATTTGTAATTGTTTGATTTATTAAGTAATTTTTTAATTTAAATTTAATATTGTTTCTTGTTATATAAGTAAATAGTGTAGCTGGTAGCGAGTTTAATATATTTGGAATAATATAGTCTAATGTTATTTTCCCATATAAATTATTAAGATCCTATAAGGCACGTTGATTACAAAACCATAAGTCCATTCCTGCAAATTCTAATCATTCGAAACCTCAATCATCCAAATTGGTCCACAGAAGTTGGTGAAAAATAAAGGTTTTGGTTATATATAAATACAATTTTATATTGATCCATTTACATGGACGCACACATAAACGTGTCTCGAAAATTATAAATGTGTGGGTGCTTACAATATTCGAAATCTTTTCTGAGCCCTATATGTTCTTTTAGTTATTCGGTCTCTATATTTATTAGCTATAAAACAAAATTACTTTTTTCGAATAAACTATATATTTTGCAAGCTGTATGGGAGCAAAAAGTGACTGAAAGTATGAGACTTGCTCGTATATAGTGACTGAGATAACAGTATTTCTTGGACCTAAAAGTCGACGGCGTGTATTAGACATAGAAGTAAAAAAGAATTAATAAGAAAAAGATTATTATTTGTATTAGCTGTAATAAAATTACGTATCAAGTCCGCCATGTATACCTACGAGAAAAAAAGTATTATTTGGAAATTTAGAAGCCGATATACTAAATATTTCAGCTTAAACCACAAAACACTTTTCACTGAATAAATAATATATAGATACACCATTTTCGGTTGTGTGCAAAATACGTAAGAAAGGTTTTTCGCTAGGAAATAATGATTTTGGCAACCGTTCTTCTTCTTCAGTCGCACTCTTCGTTTCTGAAGGTCGTGTTAGTGGCGCCATAAAGCTTCCTCCACCTGAAGGCTACCTTTCTTAGCATGCCTTATATCAAAAGAATTTGAATTATATTCCCCAAGGGCAATAGTAAATAAAACTACACATTGCAAAAATAATTTGTAATGCAAATTAACCTAATTTATGGTGTGACATTTGCTTTTCTACAAGAATTAGATCGATAACATTTCTGTTTCTTTCTTCTACCACTCTCCAAATTGTCTTTAATTTTGTTTTAAGAAATATATTTTATATGCATTCCATTAAAAGTATTATAAAAATTTGACTATTTCAAAATCAAAAAGATATTTTTAAGTCCATTTGTTTTTAAAGTATATGGATATGGATATGGAAAGGCGAACAAAGGCAAACACACACAAAGGTATTGTAAAAACGAGAGTAAGGAGAACTTGTATGGGTTTCTATTTATGTGAAAATTCTTTAGTGTACAGTCCAAGTTACAAAAAAATATATTTTTGATTTTAAATCAATAATACAGAATAATTTTAAACAAGTCTTAATTTGATTCTAAATATTTGTATTTTTATTTCACTTGTATCGGTTTACAGAGACTTTAAAGAGTGACGGAAAGTTTCTTGCCAGTTCTTCTAGCCCGGTCTACGACCTTGACTTGCGAACTGGTAGTAAATGTAAATTTACAATTAATATAGCTTCTTTATTGACGTTCACTTGTTTTAGTCTTTCTTAGTGTACTTGTTTACCTATAGTATGAATAAAGATATTTTGAGTTTGAGTTTACAAATAAGTAAATTTTATGACAGATTTTGTCCGGTTCTCGATCAGTCTCAATTAGAGACTGATCGAGAACCGTTAATATTTTATATTTAGAAATGCCTTTAAGTTTACGAAAATTATGAATATATTTTATTTAAGTAGGTGAAATACACATTAAAAATAATATCATTTTTGTTAAACTATGTTACTTTCCTACTACCAATTAGCCTGCAAACATTTTTCAAATGTTAGTAGAGAATTAGTTTACAGAACAACAACTTACCCTTTAGACCGCGAGACAAAATCTAATTCCTAGGATTAAACGCGATGACACTGCTGCTCGGTTCAAGAGATGAAGCTTTATCATATTTGCTTATTCTGTATTTAAATAAACGTCACCTAATATTAAATCATGTTTATATTAATAAGTGTCCCTTAAGCCTAATCAAAAACCCTTCTGCGTCATTTTTCGGTCCATTTCTAGACATTTCTCCTGATTTTATTCCAGTACGCCCTGCACTACTTACCTACCTACGCCTCGGCATCCACTGGGAGGCAACCTCCTTGACGTTGTCGTCAGTACACCTAGTCGGTTAGCAGCCGCGCGGTCCTTTATTCTACCGAGCTCGCCATGCAAGGATCCATCCAGCGGGTCCATGCGCGCTACGTGGTCTACCAACCGCCACTTGTGTTAAGACAGCCCTTACTTACTACGTCGCCCATGCCGGCTCACGAATGGCTTCATATCGTACGGGATCGAAAAGCGAGCATTGCACACTCCATCGCCCACTGACTCTCAGGCTTTCCGCCGTATATTGTGTGAGCGTTGTGGCTTTGGCTCCATATGTAAAGACAGCAGGATGCACTGATCTTTTGAGTTCTTTTGAGTGCTATAGAAGGGGGTCCCCGCATTATCTCTTCATTCGCTCCAAAAGCTACCCATGCCGGCAAAATACGTCTAAATCCCAAGATAGATATAGTGGTCTACGGTAACTACCGGTAGTTGTTGTTGTCTGGTTCCTTCGATGTTATGACGATGTTACTACAATGCTTGCATATCCATACAAAATGACTAAATTTTATTGAAAATAAAAAAATCGTGAAACGTGTGTTCGTTATAAGACTTACATATTTTTATTGTCATACATTTTATGAGGTTATCTAAAATATTTTAACATCACATTTTGAATCACTTGCTTCTTTGTTTCGCTCGGGTTATGCTAGATTGGTATGATATATGATAGCTTTTTATTTTTGATTGCCTATTGGCAATGTTACGTCCTCAATTTTATAATTCCGTAGTGAGCCTTTTTTGCGTATTAGGAGCTATTGCAAAGGCAAAGTATTAGTAATATATTATCAGTCTAAACTCTCTTATTGTTCCCAAACTAATTTTCTCCATATCCTTACAACTGACAATCGTGTGCCTTTCATGTTAAGAATATATGGAAACTAGCTGACCGGGCAAACGTCGTTTTGCCATATACATATATCATTTATAATAAAAAAATAGGGGTTGATCGTAGAGGGGTGAAAGTTAGGGGTTTGTATGTATTTTTTAATGCTGTATCATAAAAATATCTAAAAATAAAAAAAAATATATTTAGGGGTGGACTACCCTTAACATTTAGGGGGATGAAAAATAGATGTTGTCCGATTCTCAGACATACCCAATATGCACACAAAATTTCATGAGAATCGGTCGAGCCGTTTTGGAGGAGTATGGCAACGAAAACTGTGACACGAGAATTTTATATATTAGATGTGGTATGTGCTCAGGGCTTATTATTTTAATATAAAATTGTGTATCAACCACCGAACCGTCCGTTGTGGTACAACGTGATTTCAAAAACAGTCACAAAGGGGAGTCGTAATGATAGCAGCACAACGAAAATATGGAAAAAATATATTAAGTGTCATTCAACTAACAAGTTCGTGAAGAACCGCGTCATATCATTTATTCACAACTTGCACGAAAATAGCCCGTATTAGTTGGAAATAAGATCTTTGAAATTAGAAAATAACGTTCTTTCAGCTAAGTAATTAGGTTGTGTGATGTTCCATTTTGATCTTTATGCGGATGGAATAAGGGTGATTGTATATGTATACAAAATGTTGTTACATGTATAAAGATGAATGATCTTTCGCTCTAGGTGGTCCCTGACAGACAGATGCTCCTTTAAACCATACATCACGGTTTGCGTATTTACTTCTTTTTAGATTTTCAACAATTGAATGAAATTACAAACAAGCAAATCAATTCGTCTAAACATAACCTGCCATTTGAATCTATGATAATGTGTATCATTATAGAACAAAGAAACAGTCACGTATAATATAACTATATTAGATAAATACGTCTAGTTCGGTTTATCCTTTACCTGTAAGTCGTAAGTACATTCTCAGCTATTGTATTTTGTTTTTGGTTTCTTAGAACAAATTGTGCCTGTACATCTAACCTTTGAAGGATAGATAGATGCTCGCAGTAATTATTTATTTAACACTTACGTTTAACAATACAAAACAATTGGGTAACTTATACAATTCAGGTAACAGACTGCTTAAACCATTAACTCAAAATAACGTTAGTTAACAGCATTAAATTATTACTTGTCAATATCACTCGATGAAAATAATTTTTTTAACAAATATAAAAAAATATTATAAGGGGTGAGTGTCGCAGCATCAGTGAAGTATTTGATGGTTAAGAGGGGCCTTGAGGAAATGAAAGCTAAACGCTGTAGATAAATTGTCTATATGATGGTAATCTTATTGGCGATGTTTACATCAATGTTTATAAATTGGGGCAAATTCCTCCCTTTCGTTGATGATCGGTGCTTTATCAACGAGTCTGCTTTGAAGCCAAAAGGATACCACGTAGTTTCGTTAATATGGTATTACTTATTATACCACATGATGATTAATTTGCCACGTGATCGCTAAAACGAAAATCACACGATTTTATCGTTATGTGACTTAAAAAACACTGAAATCAAAACTCTGGCTTCTTGAATATAAAAATATAAAGAAGTAAACGCTTGATATCAGGATCCTGATCCTTTTATCAGGATATAACACAGACACTATGTCTGTTTCAGTCATTTTTTTATAAGACCTGAAGCTATAATTTTAGCCGGAAATAAACCCAGTTAATACGTATATTTCGAATGTTAGCTACTTATCTGCAGAAATGGTATAGATAAAAACAGTACTTAAACAAAAGAATAATCACGCGTTAAAAGTGGGTAACAAGCCTATATATTCATATAGTAATTGTTTTTGTTCCTGATAATAATATTTTTTTATTTCTAATCATCTATTTTATTACCGAATCAGATTATTTACATTTTTTTATTATTATATGTTAACCACTCTCTTCTATATTTAGTTGAATTTGATTTAGAAACCGTTATACGTTCACGAAAAGTCTTTGTGCATATTAGTGTGGAATAGTGCCTACATTATTTGGCCTTATTGATTGCTTCAAATGCATGAAGAGATTTCAATCTTTATTCTTATTTTGTTTAAACGTTTACACTTTATTAATTTGACCTCTTGTTTACATGTAGGTTCAAAGTCCACAGTATATTACAACTTTGTAGCACCATAACCGCATCCCCACATAACCGTTAAAATTTTAGCACCTCACATAGCATAAAGTCCTAACAAGGTCGGAACAAATTCAAGTTATGGATAATTATGTTTAGCATTTATGTGTACGACGAGGAAGTCAAATGGGCCTCACACCGCGTCTCACTTGACAACTATATTACAGAGCTCGGTTTCACTCATAAAATTTAAACAGTTGCTATTTTTGTATATAATAAAAATTTATGAAACTATGTGTTATGTGTTTAGATGATGATTTCTTTTTTTGATTGTAATAATTCCTTTTTATACCTAATAAAAAGGAGTTATTACTAATGAAAAATTAAATAAATTAATAAAATAAATACCAATATACGTAGTTTATTGTTACGTTTAATAATTATATTGTATTTTATTGAGGATATAATATAATATTAATTAATTAGGTAACCCTAAAGCATTTTGTTTGTGATTAGTTAGAAATATTAACACTAGTTTTAAATGAGATCTACTATAATATCTTTTTATTTTTCACATTATTGTAATAGACACTAGGTACGCTAGCAAAAATTATTTGTGCGTAAACAGAAAACAATTAAATCCTAAAAAATATAGAAAATTACGAACACTTAAACACAGACATATCTACATTTCTATATCTTATCTTTAAATTTAGTACTTTTCAGAATACCTATCCTTCCAGTTCAACCAAATTTAAAGTAACTTAATCGATTTATTAGATACGGTTAGCTAACTTCACACTTCTAATAAAGCACTTCAACTATCTGAAGCTCCTTGTAATCGATTACGTCTCAAGCTTACTATGCAGTGATTAAACTACGATTAATACCTAACCGCTCTCGGTGCCAACCGTCCTCCGTAACAATTTATCTTTCGTGTACGCTTGAGTTTGACGCATATAACAAAGGCCACCATTTGTTATGCAAAGTTACAGCGACACTGACGGTTTTAACTTCATATACTAATTGAGTGGTTCAACGACCGACAGCTCTTTTTCATTTCACTAATTGTTGTGAAAAGCCCGTACTTTAGATGGCGAGCGAACTTCTGATAGTTCACACTTCTTAAATACACATATGGTATAACTTTAACAAAGGCTTTTTTAAAGAAAGAAAATAATATAACTTTATCGTGACTTGCAATTATCATTTGCATTTTCTTATTAGTAGCCTAATTTGTCCATAGGCAAATTTATGTATGTTATATGTTCTAATTATAGGTAATCAAGATATAACTCGAGGTTAGTATAATCTGTAGATAATGCAATATTGATGCTGGGATGTAATTAAGCGTGCTGAATTATTGTGCGACCCACTACATATTACATAGTAATATATCAGTGTATATTATATAATACAAAATAAGTATCCGCTTTGAAACAGAGTTTTCGAGAATTCTCAATTGTTGTTGTAACTCAAACCACTACCTATTAGTATTTACTAAAAAGGTTCTTGTAATTAAAAAAGAATCTTTAATTTCTCAATTTAAATTCATCATTTCCGCACTGGATCGACATATATTTGTGATAGGAGCAGAAAGAAAGATGATTTAAGTTAATGTACCTACTAGCGGCACTGTATTTTTATTAGTGTTTCTTCTATTAATACTGTAAGTGAATAAATAAATATTGTTTAAATAATTACCATTTTTTGTAATCAGAGTACAATGAAAACGTTCTCTTCTGCGTACAAGAATATACTAATTCTCCAATAAACACAATGATGCAAATTAGATCTAGCACTCCTAGTAGCAAGAAAGCTCCAAGTAAATGTTGCATACCCAGCGGTACAATACTGGTCCTTTCAGCGCCTTTCGGACGGTTAAACAACTCTTCGCTCCATTTTTCTATCAAGCCATTCTCAGAAACACTTCGTATTATATTATTGAATCGGTCCAACAAAGGATACCAATTCCGAGCTAAAAGTGCAACACCGTACTTATAAAGGTTATCGCTTTCAGCAAAACAGTAAATCAATGACTCTCCTCTCCCTAAAATGTGATCCTTATACATAGCTTGTCTTCGCGAAGAAACCACCGCAAAATTCCTTTCGTAAGCTGCCTGCCGTACCCCCTCCGAGAACGATGTCGAGTTATATTTGTGATACAAATAAAACGAGCTCGCGTTATTAGTCTCAAAATAGGAACGGTAAATCTCTCTGCCCCCCAGAGGAATGCCAGATTGAATGAGATCCGCCTCGCTACTAATTTGCTTCTCAAATCGTGGATGCATTAGGAAACTTCTCAAAAGAGCTTCGTAAGATATCCCCATGTTTAAGCTGAAACAAAGCCAGCCAATCATCAAAATTCTAAACGTAGCCGACCGTGGATCCAACATAACGCTCCAACCGAGCAGCATGCCAAATGTTTTTAAAATTAAATTAGTTGGCCACTTAGATACTTTACCCTCATTTTCTTTGTAGTTCATAAAATGAAACAGCAAACTCATGATCATTAGGCATATTAATGTAGCGAGCCAAGTGGACCACTGAAATATTGTAACTACGTTATCCCACGTAGCAGCTCGGCGGGCGCGAGGAACGCACCAAGTCATTTCATCTTGAGTGTAACTTACTGTAGGATCAAACCATTTGCGAATTGTTCTCGTGACTTCAATATTACCAATAACGAGATCAACTGAATCGTTTCTAAGTAAACCAAAGGCACCCGTCGCCGTTCCGTTCGAGTAAATGGCACCCCAATTTTCTTCATTCTCCGACATACGCGTAATCAGTGTCATATTCGTAAATTGGCTTATGATTTTCACCAAATTTATCTCAACGCCTTTTTGAAATTCGTAGGCGTCGTTCCATAATTCACTTGTTAGTTTCCGCACTGGAGGCATCACGTATGGCTCTGAGATAACGACATATGTTAATAAAGGGCATCCTCTCAAGTCTAATGGAAACATTTCCTTTTGAACTTCTATCTGACTTATTAGATTATCTTTACATCTGTCTAAAATATATACTGTTTCACATTTGCCACCGCAATTTGTTTCGCTATATGGATTCCAAGAGTAAGAAATAATTTCGTCATCTAACGCTGAATATAGGAGCACAATTACTCTCAGCAACTTCATCGCATGGAGTTCGTTAATAAACAACTTAGCCAGGTTTTCGCTCGACTCATTTTTTTGTTTCTCATACAAAACAATAGTCTTTGCAAATGGATTCCAAGTAGGTAGTTTACTCAATAGTTTAAGATAATTTTTCAGATCCAGTTGGTTTTCTAAGACCATCATATAATTTTTGGCCTTTTCACGAAAGTGTGAAGCGTTTGCATGTGGGTAATACGGGGTTTTAACCATTATCGAATATTTTATTCCGTTGTGTACGGTTTGCAAGAGAAACTTTTTGGTGAACGCTTGAGGATTAATTCCCACAATCACGATGCTACCGCTAAGCGCTTTTTTTTCAACAAAATATTTTGCAGAAAGTTTTAAGACGCATTGGGATGCTTTAACACTTTCGTCCAGACCAATAGGCATCAGTAATGGGTTCACATTTAAAACTGTATACATAGTGCTGGCTAAAATAATATACCGAAATACAATAGAAACCATATTTGGAACGAATAAGTTCTATGAAGATTTTATTGTGTTTGAAGAGTTTACGGTTTGAACAACTATTTATTCGTGTAACGATATCAGGGCTGTGCAACTTTTTTTCTTTATTGAGAATAGTAATTTCATCATGATTCCCTGAAATCAAGATATTGATACACCATTATTATACTCATTACTTTCAATAAAACTTTAATTAATATTTCTCATTCCATTTAAAGAATTTACTGTATAACCGAAACAAATAAATTTGTATGTAATTTATTGGTAAGGTATGGACTACACAAAGTACGAAACCTCGAGAGATCCCTGAGGACTCTAGTGAGGCTTGTGAGGGTGTTTGTAGATTTTGAGGTTATTTAGTACATTAAGGGTCTGTTTCACAATGTGTGGATAAAGTACCAAATAGCTATGCAACACATAAACTATTTGGAAAATAAATTGTGCTTTTTGACACTTCATCGGACTAATAACTTATGATGGACTTTATGTGACGAATAGCGCTATCTGACAGTCGTGAACCGCAACAATAGTGTTTATCCTACTAATAAGTAATAAATAGCTTATTCTGAACTTATGTAGAACTTATCCGTACATTGTGAAACAGACCCTAATACAAACGGACCTGTTGGATTTACAACGATACTACTGTCAATTGTACCTACTGTCAGTAGTACTAAAAGTCTATACCGCAATTTCAGGCAAATCGTTTACCTTGAAATTTTAGTTAATTTATTAATAAATTGTATCTAAATGGGTCAGGGTAAATAACAAATAGGTACTCCCAATAAGAGAAATCACAATTTCTATAAAGATTTTATGATATATTTTTTATGTGATCGAAAAAATTTAAAAGCATTTAAATTTTAAACGTTGTTGCTACACTTTATAATAAAATTAACCCTTGTAAAAATAATAATAGGAAATAAATTTATGTGGTAACCCTAAAAGATTAGTAAAAATATTTTCTATTAGTATGAAACATTTCCATTTGGCATTTTGAAATAATTTCAACAAATACAGGCAATTTGCTTACTAAATTATATAATAGCTTTAGTGAACTTTACGCGACGGTTTTTACGGATGGAAAATATCAAGGTTGATTTTGTCTACAACGATAACTCTTTAAAATATCATGATAATATTGAAGACATTGCCAATTATATGTTGTTTTTTGTGGTTTTTCATTTATTTTTTTCCTTTGATAGATTGCTTATGTTCTAATGTGTATGTGTGTTAAATTTGTGATGTCATATTTTCTTGTATTTTTAAGAATACACATTGTTTCAGAATGTATAAATAAAAAGGTAACGCAATTTGACTTCATTAAATTTCTTATTATAGGTTCTTGCAAAGTTCAATCAAAAAAATTTCAGAAATAAAACAACAACTGATGTAAATTACATTGTATTGATCGCATTTATGTAGAACAAAACTTGGTCCGACCGAAGTCGTCTATAAACTGTACAATAACTTGAAACACATATTATTTATATTAGAAGCAGACTTATTTGATAAACGTCAATTAAATTTCCTTCAACAAATCATAATCTACATTTAAACAATTAAATTCGATACAAATTTCTAACACATTAAACACTAAAATTGACAGGGAAATAAATTTTTCTAAGTTTGTGCCGTAAAACGAGTGTGGCATTACAGTAATTATTTCTTACATTAACTATATACAATAGAACCTAGAACCTGTGCTTTATAACATTCTATATAAATATGACATTCGTTTAAAGCTAATCGAGTTTTGGAAAGAGGAAACGGGACGGTGGATGGAATATTAACTTTTAAGCATTAATATAATTTTAAAAGTTTAAGAATTGCACACAGAAGCTAGAGGAAAAGGTATCGAAACATGTTTAATTTTGACCACTTCAAACCACAAACTAATAATAATTAGAAATATGTTCATCATTCAACCCTAAACATTACCTATATGTATGTTTACTGGAGGGTGAGAATATAAAACAAAAAACGAAACGATTTAAATGCGTTCCGTTTGGTCTTGCATCTAATTTTATATTCTCACCTAGTTAGTAGTCACCAATCCATCGCCATTTAAATTTAAGCTTACTTACCTATTTAAAGAGGATGCAATTCAGACAAATATAAATTTAAGTAATAGAGCGGGCATTAAACATACAACCGAAAATCCCAAAAGTAAAAAAAATCGTTCATTGTCATATTGGAAAATAAATATTAGTGACGTGATAACATGACTCATTGTCAGGTTCCGCCTGAGCCGAGCGTAACATGACTCATTTTCACGTTCCGTCTGAGCCGAGCGTATCATGACTCATTTTCACGTTCCGCTTGAGCCGAGCGTATCATGACTCTTGTCACTTTCCGCCGGAGCCTAGCGTGCTAGCGATAGAGAGGCACGATCGGCCTAAGCGTTTGGTTTGTGACGCATTTATCTTAAGTTATTAATAGCACATTGTTACTTGTAATTAATCTGTATAAGTCAAGTAAAAATAAAAATAACGAGTGCAAATATATGTTAATTTTTTCGAATAAAAATAAATTTTCAATCAACTAATTTGTATTTTACCAAATAATGACAATTTAGTGATAATAATTCAATTCATAAAAGTATGCAATTTTTCATCAATGTTTACTTATGACGTTAACACGTAAACTTATCGTCCGTAAGCCGACTTAACAAACAACAAATTTTTCGTAATTATTATAATTAAACCAAATTACTAACGCCCGCTCTATATACTTAAATATATTTGATTTTAATTTTTTAAACCAAAATAGCGTCACATTCTATTACGTCACAAGTATTATTGCTGTAACACATTATAATAATTATATAAGGATGTTAAAATATTTAAAGGTATGTAAAATTCAACACTTTATTTGTATTAACTTTTTGTGGCTTGTGTAATTTAAAATATTAGGCCTCCGATAGAATTTCAATTAAAAATATTAATATTGATTTACTAAGACACGTCACTTTTCTAAAGCATGTAATTTTTCTAAAAACTGATTTATTTGACAAATGTCATAGAAATATGGCATATGCATTTTAATTATTGAAAAAGAGTCATTAGTAGTTGTAAATTGAGCTTTGAATTCCATTCGATATAATAATAGGTTTCAACCCGCCATTAGCTACAATTTAATCAACAACTCTGATTATAGTCGCTTATATCATCAAATATAAATTAATTTTATTCCGATATCTTATTAAAAAGGATCACCGTATATTTTCTATCAGAAGTTCAACCTTTAGCGTTTTAGTTACTTTCGCCAAATTTCCATAATCCACCCTTACATCTTATTATCTTACACATCTTCAAGTGTGTCGTCTTAAAATATTTGTAAAAGATTTATTAAATATAGGACAGAGAAAATCGTAATATTACCGTAGTCTTCAGTTTAACGATATGCTTTATTTTCAGTGTTGGCAGCTCTAATATTAACGATATTGTCTTATTTTTATATGGTAAAGGTAAACTCAGTAACGAAAACCGGGATTTTTCAAAGCCGAAGTAAAAAGCTTGGTTAGTGATTTATTTAGTAGAAAGACTGTACAGAATTGGAGTCTATAATTAAATTAGATAACCAATTTGCAAAGATGTCCTACAAGCCAAGACTCCATTTAGTAAAAAGCAATTCCATATTCTATCAATCTGGCTCAAGTTCAATCGCACGAATGATTAACATTAATATTATTTACACTAACACTTGCGAATCAGTCGATACTTCACAGTTAACTTATGCAACGCAAACTGTATATGCCATTCATACCTTACAAATATGTCTCTATTTGCGGATATTTTACGAACGAAAATCTGATCAAACGACGATTTAAAACATTTATTTCACAAATAGAGACAAAATTCAACCAGCTAAAAAGCGACTACAGGTATATTGATTATGGTATATAAAATTAACTATCTGATATGTCCGTTAAGGATTGTATGGACACGCGAATCTAACGAGCGCAGTCGAGCGATCATTTTTCTGATACCAGGAGTGAAATGATGTTTAAATGTTCTACCTTTTTTTTAAACCACGGTATCTGAGAAAATGATCTACGTATGTCTTGAATGGCCTTAGCACTGCAGAGTACACGTTTAGTTCATTTATAAGCAGCAGTTATTGATTGATCTTTTTAATTATTAAAATTTAAAAAAAATTGTTGGAGCTGTTATTAAATGATGAGATGGGAACGATATATTTTTAAGTTTTGTTAGGGGCTTTGAAAGACTCGAGTAAGTGAGAAGTATTTGGTACTAACACTGTAAAATTTGGAAAGAAACAATATTTTATTACAATTTAAATGAATAATCTGATAGAGTTTCTTCAAATCTGTATTACGTAAAAGACTAACACTGCTGCTTATAAATGTATTCGTTACATTAACTAATGTACTATGCAGCGTAATTACACGTACCACTCTTTGATACCATCGCGCTTAACTGGCTGAGGCATCGGTGCGAGGGGCGTTGCTCCGTTCCTATTGAGAGGCAATGGCTGCAAGTTTCGAACAGCGCCACCTGTCTGTACATTTGAACCGGTTTGATAACTTGAATGAGCCTGAAATAGTTACAATTAATAAAGATAATATTAGTAATTTCACTAACATGAATATCAATTTTTACATTATTTATCTCCTGGAAAGAGCGAAATATTGTAAAAACCAACTTCAATACACTCTCATTACAATACTAAATAGTCAACTTGATGTCGCTGACCACGGTGGCAGCACTAAAAAACATTGCAAATAATATAATAAATTTGAATCTCTTAAAAAAGTTCTATTTAAATGTGTACTACTGTCATAATCTCTATGAATGTTTTCATATCCACGGCAGCGAAGTTAATATGTTTCTGTTTTTTAGTATTTCACGTTTCTTGCAGGAATTTCAACTTTTTTCTTAATATTATAACCCATATACCTGATTCGCAAGCAGTGCCGCACTAGCACTCTGCTGGTAGCTCTTGTCTTCCGTTACCTTATACGAAGGGTCCAACTTAAACATCAGCTTTAGCACTATAATAACTATAATGATTATTGCTATAAGCACCGACGCAACGATACCTGAAAAATATAAACAATATTTCCGACGCACATCAAGCTACAACTATTATAAGGGCGTTTTATTTGTTCCCATTTGAGATTATGATTATTGATTATTTTATCGAAATCTATGTTATTACTATAAAACAAAGTAATTTAACTGCCATATAAATTAAAACAAAAATTTATTATCCCTTGAATTGTATTTAATAATAATGTAAAAGAACAAGAACATGTTCTTTAGAAAATTCCCACGCATACATTTTCACTTTTCCCCGAGTTGATATATATCCCACTTTGCGGAGGTCAAATACAAAACGACATAAGTAATATGACATAGTAAACTTGTAGGGAAATATTTTTTAAAACTCCTCTAATGTGTCACTTACCAACAATAGTTGCGAAGAATTCAGACTCTGGTGGTACCACTCTGTTATCAGTCGATTTAGGATGGTACCATTTGGTTGTAATTTCAGGCTCGTGGCCATTATATCCAGGGTAGCTTCCAGGCACCACTTCATCTATGCCATAAGGTGATCGAGTTGCCATCTTGGTGTGCGTGTGATCTTCATAGTCTGGTATCTCTTCCTCCGTTGTGTGCGCTGCCTCTGTGTGTCGCGTTACTGTCGGTGTAAACTGATTGCTTGTGTGCGTATGCGTGTCCTCTGAAGAAAGAGTTATACATTATAATTAATTTGACTATGCCAAAGAGTACTATTAAGTCGTATCAGTACTGGCAGTAATAAACCCGGTAGCAAATGGTTAAATAGGCACCGGCGCTGCTACACTAAAAGCAATTAAATAAAATAGCTTCATAACCAGAAACAAAATATTATTTATTCAATAGTATTATTCTTATTAGGAAGGAGGTATTTAGTTCAACAAACATTTTAAAAGTCCAATAAAATGTAGATAGTTCTATGTTGCAGGTATACGAACTTTATAAGATGTACAATTCTACCTTCTGTAGGAGTAGTGCCCTTCTCTGGAGTAGTGGCGGTGTCCACGGTGCCCGCGTGCATATTATCGTGATCTGGTAATGTGGTGCGGTCGCTCTTAGTAGTTCCGGCACTTTCTGTCCCTCCCTCTGTGAACCCTGAGATAGCCTTTTCCACGTGATCCGTGGCTATAGATGTGGTAGGTGAAGTCATACTGGCAGTGCTACTTACACCAGCACTGAAAAGGAAACATCCATCAGAAAATCTGAATTTTCTTTATAGATTGAACCTGGGATGTTAAATTGTAAAATGAAACATATGAATAAAATGAGAGATAAACTTAGTATTTCTAATAAGAAAATAAAATCCAATAAACCGGTAAAAACATATTTAATCTAAATATGTGTTCGTGACTTAGCTGTAGCTCTATCGATTCCCGGCGAGACAACAATTGCTTCCGATTGATAGCACTAAATTTGCATGACAAAATGTTCAACAGAATAGACGCAGCTGTCTGCCACAGGTCAAAATTAAAAATCCAACTTACGTGGTAATTGGGTGTTCTGGTTCCGTTATCTCTTCTCCATTAGATCCGGAACCTTCGATGCAATCTTCATCGTCACAAGGCTTCATTAATTTACCGCTTAGGTTACCCTGAAAAGTTTAAAAAAACTCATTAGTACAATTAATATAAAACAAAATATTTTTTGCGAGAATTATATATAATTATATATATATATATTTAATTTTATTTTTAGGTTTATACCTTGCGCATGGCAGGCGGTCGCCGCGTAGACGGTACATAAACGGGCGTGATAAGGTCATCACCCGAGCCAGCGTCTGGCAGCACACAAGCGTCTTCATCATCATCACGACACCCTGACCCGGCGCCTGAATACACAAGTTCATCGAGTACTCCAGGGCCCGCATATCCTGATGGAGGTGTCTGAAATAGGTGGGTAAATATTTATAATTGGCATTGAGAGGAGATTTAAAGAGGAGAGCAGTGTTAGCCAGTGTTAGTGGCCAGCTTGCTGTGCACCAATTGACTTGCTCGTGCGTTGAAGGAAACCGGCATGCCTTAGATCCAAAAAGTCGATTCAGGTACAGAAGGCTGATCACTTCTTTGCCTATTAGAAAAAACACAAATGATCCCGAAACAGATACAGAAATTTGAGGCCCAGACATAAACGGTTGTATTGGCACTGGAGTTTTTATAGAGCCAATAAATTGTTAATTCTCTATGGAAAATCTTGAAAAAGTGTGTTGGGCTGTGACTGCCCAACTATACTAGTGACAGATGGGGTACGGCTGACAGTGACACTATAAAGATATCTTCCAAAATATTTATGACCTCTGAGAAAATAAACGATCTCGTAACAAGGTGCCCATTCCTGTTTACTTACTAGTTCAGATATAATTGTTGTAGTTCAGATATAATTGTCCAAGACCTTTTATTTCCTAGATCATTACACAACCTGGCAACTTGTTAAAGTAACGCGGGGACAAGAGTAAAAACTAACCTAACCTTACCAACCACTAAATAGAACACTGCCTTATTAATTTACTCAAGTAATTTATTTCCTAACATTTTAGTAACACTTGTTTTCAAATATTAGTTTCAAAGTAAGTAAGCAGGACTAAAGTACCTGTTAAGGCCGGTATGCATTATATATTTAAAAGTTTTTAATAGAAATTTGATTTTTTTGAGCAAATTTCGAAAACAGCTAATTTACCTGTTGCATTCTATTGATATCTCTATCGAGTGGAGTCTGAGCTCTTCGGGCATCACCTCGCACTGTAACAGCCGGATCGCCAGCGGCAGCCAGATCGAGAACCCGAACCTTTCCAGCCACTAAACCAGCGAGAACACCACTAAATGACCTGGCACCACCTGAGCCTCCACCAACTATTATTTTGGACATACTGTTGAAGACTGTCGATTGTTGCCCACCTGAAAAACAATTTATTCAAATTAAAAATCGAGTAACATTTTTTTTTATTTCACCACACACCTCCCATCACACTCCGATAAGCTTTAAAACTAGGCGACACTTGTTGGTAAACAACTATGGTTTCATATTGAAAAAAAGGCAAATCAACTACTTGCCCTGGCATGATAAAGTATGAATAAGAGTTATTTAATAAATATCAATACTTTAACCTTGTGGGTGTCTCAAATTGACGGCATAATTATCAAGTTGTAGGGCAGCGCGGCTTCCATTTCTTGTAAAACTGGCGACGTGATAGGCTCCGTCGTCTACTCTAGCTGCTTCGTCTCCTACCGGATGTTCGCCATCACCCACATTGTATACGAAAAACAAGTTTCCACGAATCTATAAAATATATGTGAAAAGTAAACTGTAAGTTTCTTTTTCAAATTAACGACAGTAGCCAATAATAGTTTAGTTGCGCAATTTCTTATATTTATGATTAATTGACATCAAAAAATAATTTATGCATAAATGCAATGCACACCCATAAAGCACATGAAAGAAGATATTAGGTTTATTCAAAAAGCACCGTTTTTGTTTTTCAGAGACAAACATACGTAAACGAATAATCATAATTATCGAGTGGCGCTACGACGCTAAATGGGTCTTGGCATTTGATTGCATCCGATTCATTCATAATTTTAATTTTTGTTGCTTTCCGTGCCTGACATGTCGTAGTTTTTAGGGTTGTCACATGCCGGTTTCCTCACGATGTTTAACCATAACCAAAAGAGGAAGTTATTTGCGCCCATAGAAAAAAAATCTATCCGTTATATAAACGCACGACTTCAGGGATGATTCCCTAAACGCACAAGGCCAACATTAATTTAACACGTCGTAAACGAATACTGAATATAGTAATTTTAACACACAAGCGATTAAGTTCTATAATTATTGCTATTTTAAATTGTCATGTCCTTTTCCGTTCCTTATTCTTATCCTGTTAGGGTGTTAGTATAAAAAATTAAGTGCGTAAGTAACAGTATTACTAACAATCTCCATTTGCATATAGTCCTGTGTATTAGATGATTCAATTCTCAGTATAACTGCATCAGCTTTGCTGGTCACAAAACCAACAGCCACTTTGTCCGTCTCTGTGTCTGTCACTGCACTCGGCGGAAATGCGTATGTGATGATTCCACGACCGGGACCAAATTCATACGCTATTGATTCTGAAATATATGTTAACAGTTAAACATATTAATTATTTCTGACTTTTCCTCTTCTTTTATTAACCGACACGATTTACTTGGGCTTCCGAATACGTGTGCTAATACATAAGTGTGTTTGATTCTAAATTTCTCAGCCATATCTAGATAATCCGTTTTGATCTAAATCAGCTATATTTTAAATTAAGGAGTTATGGGAACAGTTTAAGTTTAGTCAAAATTGGTTTACTAGTTTTTAAGATATGGGTTCTCCTATTCAGTTGACAGTTATGTGAAGTTTATGGGTGATTTCAGTCAACGTTGCTTATGGAAGTTTTATAAATTGAATATACAGTATATAGGCGATTAGTTGTTGGTTTTTGGGCCCTTTGGTTTTTTCCCGGGGGGCCCCGGGGGAGGGGGCCCCTTTTTCGCGCCCCCCTTTTTTTTTCCCCCCCCCCCCCCCCCCCCTCCCCCCCTTTTTTTTTTTTTTTTTTTTTTTTTTTTTTTTTTTTTTTTTTTCCCCCATTTGAATAAAGCTACAATTAGGGGTTTTTTTTCCAACCCTGAAGCAAACCCCCCTCCAACTTTTTTTTTTTTTTTTTTTTCCCCCCTTTTTTTTTTTTTTTTTTTTTTTTTTTTTTTTTTTTTTTCTTTTTTTTTTTTTTTTTTTTTTTTTTCCCTTCTTTTTGTGTTTTTTCTAAATAAATAAATTTGTACACTATCCTCTGATATAGTTTTTAGATATTTTCGAAAAAGATTGAGATGTAAATCAAGTTGAAAGTAGAACAAATGACATACCGTCATAACAGGTAGGACCAGTGAAGGAAGTGAGGTCACAATCACATACATAGGTGTTCCACTGCTGCACACATACACCCTTGTTCGCGCAAGCGTTGTGAGTACACTTAGTAGGACCTAAAATCAATTAATATTAATCAGATTCGGAGTTACAGCTATTTGGCAAATATTTCATATACGTAAATGTAGTACTAGAATTAAAAAAAATATTTGTAGGGGTAAATATAATACGTATAATCAATTTTCATAAATTGATTAAAATACATGAAATATTATGTGGATTAATAATACATATTACCCGAATTCAGACCAAACATTTCAGTCTCACTTTTTGTTGTTTATTGGTGAAAGTTTTATGATTTCGGAAAACAAAATACATTTCTATTATAAAAATTAAATATCGTTATAAGCCTTTTATAGTCGTACCTTTTTCGATGCTCACAAAACATAGATCAACACTTAAAATAACAGCAACAATTTTAGTATCAAACAAATATTTCCCCTAAAGCATAAAAAAATACTTGCTAAAAGCTCTGCCATTCCGTACTGTTACGAAGACAGGTTGCATGAAATGATTTCTCGATTTTTAGAGACGTTTCCAGCACGCTGATTTGGTTTATGATCGTTTCAAGAGAGACTCTAGCACATACTATATGAAAATTGAAATTTACTTAGAGTTTCAGGAGACTGAAATTTTGTTCAGGCCGTTTCAGAGTAAGCCTTGTTATCTGATAAAATTTTCAAGAAACCCGTTATTATTTTATGTTTCGATTTATTAATAGAGTTTTGTGAGTAATTCGTGTATTTTGAGTGCATTATTTTTCCTATAGATCGAGGTCTACGAAACAGTATGTTGTAGGCATTTAATAAAATAAAATAATAATTTAACTACTTTATATATACCTTCACATCCAGATACCAATGACGAACTCGGGACAACCACATCATCCATTAAAGATGGTGACTCTCCCGGTAAGTCCAAACTGGACATGCAGCCTTCAAAACCTTGTCTTGATAATACGCCAACAGGAAGTAATGTGTACATATCCTTTGGTACTCCGCCCACATATAGAACACTATCTAATTCCAGCATTAGATTTGAACCTAAAAACAATAGTAGCTCTTGTTCAGTGATTACGAAAAAAATGATAAATGGACTTCTTATCTGTATGTAATTATGTGAATGTCAAATTAGTTTCGACACTTGAACAAATGTTCTGAAGACTATTAACAAGCTATCGAAGCTATTATATATTTTTTACAATGAATTATTTGCTGTAGGTACACAAATCCGATTTTGCCATATTAAAAATACTAGTTTTGGAAATTTTATAAAAATATGTTTCAAACAGTAATCATGAAACTTACTTGTCGTGTGCAACTCTAAATCATCATCAACTTGCAACGTATGCACTTTAGGCGTTGGCCGTCTAATCGACACCGCATGCCATCTATTATCGTTCAAAAAATTCTTTAATTTATCCTTCATAGTAACTACTCCATCGCCCAGATTAAACACACAATGGATGTGTCCATTTACTAACTCTACGGCGATAAAATCTTGCTTTTTACCACCGTTGTAGAATAAAAGACCATCCATTTCCGTAGTCCGGAAGTAAAAGTCCAAATACGTGTTTCCATACGCTTTTAATAATGGCAGTCCTGCGTATGTATGTTTAGATTTAAATGTCACAGCCTTATAGACATTGAGTGAGTCTGGTTTTGTAAATTTTCCATTGAATATAATATTGGATGTATCGTAAATGTTATTGTTGTCTTCGTGTGTTCCGATACCCAAGGTTTTAGCAAGATCGATATACTTTATTCCATTGAAGACAAATTTTTGAAGGTATCCTACGAAATTGGGTAGAGTAGATGTCATTTGAATTTCCTCTTCGGGATGGAAAAGTCCTCCAAGGTGCAACGATGATATTTCTAAGGTTGAAGCTTTCCCTAGAATAGTCTCGGCTGGAAATTAAATCATTCAAATGAGAATCTTTATTTGCGTAGCCAAGTGAAAAATACAACATTGACTTTTAAATAAAAATAATATAGCGAAAGTAAACTCCATCGATCTTTAGCCTTTCTGTCACCTATTTACAAAACTAATTAGCACATAGAGTTTTGATAGAGCAAGCTAAGTAGAGTTGCCAAAATAAAATATAGACACAGTATTTCGTCTGACTATAATGTAGTAACAATTTCTGTTATCTTATCACAAAATTAATAAACGATCCGAAAACAACAACCAAATGACAGATATTATGTAGTTTGCAAGTTGTTTGCGTGAATGAATCTGTGGAATCTGTTCTACTATGACATCAAAATGCATTAGCGAATAATATCAAATATTGACGTACTATTTATTTAATGATACCTCAATCCCAAATAATATTAATAATTCGAAAATACAATACACACGTATTTTCCATAATATAATGTTTTCTATAACCACATGACCGCAAGGCATTCGAAATGTCGCAATCAACTATAGAAGTGATAAAATAATGTATAATTTCATGTTTTATACAAATACTACTCTTGTTTTAAATGTTTAATAAACGCATTAAAAGTGTACTTTCTGTAGGCATCATTTGTAGAAGATGTGTTCGATCACGAGTCAAAAAGATACTAAACTATTATCTACAAGATACTACTGGGGAAAACTACAGAAATGAAGAAATGAATAGCGTAAATAGAACAAAACAGTGAGATACAGTGCCAGCTAGAAATTAAAGAAAAAAGCTTCTAAACTACATCTAATAGGAACATCAAACAACGAAGGTCGCTTATAATTAATTTGGAGTAGAATATTTACTTAGATTACACACATTAACTAACTAACTAGTTGTTAATTAACTTTTATGTTCAAGTCCATATAAGAAATGTCAAACTTTCTTCTTGTTGGTGAAAGGTTCACTTTAATTAATATGAATTTAATTTACATTATGCCTTTTTGTTTACTAATCTAAATTTTAGTAAAATATTACTAACTGAACATGATCTATTAATAAAATCAAAACACCTTTTTTTCGTAAATGATTTCTTACTGTGATTTTTTTTTCGCTCAACTGCTTTTCTTATTATGGACGACGGCGAGTTTATATCTCAACACTCCATCAAAAAAGGGGGAGGAACCAACCTTATTATGTGTACATAAGGGTAAAATCAAAAGTGCGGGTGGTGTCCCGTGCATACGTACATAACGTACCGCGCACTGGCTGTCCGCCGTCTACCTGTAGCTTTAAGTTCGATGCCCGTCGAGAAAAGCGGACCGTGTGCCATAAAGAGTCCGCCACATTTGTACCAGCGAGGAGGTTCTGTTAAACAAAATCTTAGTACATCGGATATATACAAATTAAACTCTTCTTAAAATGTATATTACTAAGAAGAAACCCCGAGGAACTTCCTCGGCAATTCCTCGAGTTTTAAATCAAGAATAGTTGCATTATGGAAGATAATTATATATATTTATTTAGACACATGAAGCCATCTCATCTGATGTTAAGTGATACCATCGTCCATACACACTCCCAATGCAAGAGGACTCGTAAGTATATTAACGCTGTGGAAAAAGAATGATGAACAGTTCCAATATAATGAAGGATCCGCGACCGGTCTAACGACCGACTGGCCCGAAGGCCCCAGTGACTAGGGTATACATATAAGATATATTATTGAGAATTTTAACAAAAATAAATCACAAATTGTTTCTCTGTAAAATACAAAGAAACGACATTTAAAGTTCACTTGTCTCCTCAACTATCTCCTCTTTTTACTCTGCAAGTTTTTTATCACCATCTCTATGTCAGCTGCCATTCCATCGCGCATCACTACGATGCGTCGCCTCCCAACCTCCACAGACAACTTATGACGAAGCTTATTTCATTACATAAATATAGCTATCCTTAGCGGCTGGAATAACTTTGTTAGCGCGCAGTGATTGTAGCCGTAGAATATAGGTGTCGCTACAAGGTAACTATAACCTTATATATAAATACCTAATACCTATATTTACCTTTTCTCTATTTACCTCTTCTCTATTTACCTTTTCTCTATTTACCTTTTCTCTATTTACCTTTTCTCTATCTCCTAATCTAACACTTGCTCTGACTCGCCCAGCAGCAACGGCGAGCTCTATCCGATCAGCGGAATTTTCTGATGCTGTCCGCAGCAACAAACCAGCCTTACTAGTCTTGAATCTCAGTAGCAGTTCTTCAGTTTGAGTTACGTGTTCTAGACCCAGTGATGCAGTCAAGTGTTGGCTACCATTGAGAAATATTGTTGGAGATTCTGAAAGAAAGTGTTATTTACTTTTTATACCAAAGTTAAATATCTTAAAATACATAAGAAGTGACCGTATGTGTTTCAAGTCATAAACATTTATAACATTTCTACTTTGGATTTTTTTAATAATGACCTCGTCCACACGTTGGTCCACCGTAATTGGTGGAAGAGCAGTCACAGAGCGGTCGATTCCAACCCTCAGAGCAGATGCCGCCGTGTTGGCATGGTGATGATACACATTGCTTCATCAACACATGACATGCAGGTCGGACTGATGCTGAAATCAAACGTAACTTTTAAGGTCTATACTTTACTATAAATACTTATATTAAAAACTTCAACTCTATATTGTTTTGATTAATTATTTATTTGAAATATATATTTCGGTATAATAATACAAAATTTTATATAATATTTTTCTAAAAAACTAAACCAAAAACTTAATTAATCCTTTAATTAAATATTATAAAGAAAGACAACAACACAGTATGTTCAGAAATCCAAACCACGCATCTGTAAGTGATTTGTACGTTTCACAAATCACAAAGACATTTACTAACCAGAGTCCTGCTGCCGTGCATAGGCGGTTAGGTCCTGCGGTTTTCCATTGAGGACCAAATCCCGTATACATCCCACAAAGCCTTGTCTTAGCGCGGCAGTCCACAAAGCCGGTGGGGTTCTAGCGGCTGAGTACTCAGACCCTAATCCGCCCACAAATAACGGCCCATCTAACTCCAACTGATTTGATTCTCCTTAAAACAATTTCATTGTAATACAGAGTACCACAACACACAGCTTAATTGCTAACCAGTGAAAGTCCTCCAAATATCAAATTTTATTGATTTAAGTATCTTAAAATTAGAATCTTTTATTAAATTTAATATTAAGTATGTTTTAAGTAGCTATTGACGATATGGTCTATCTTCAAATCATGAATATATTATACAGGGTGGTCAAAAAGTCGTGGATCAAACGTAAATAGGGGATAGATGAGGTCATGAGCTGCAAAAATTGTTCTACGGGAGAAGGCAAGGTCAAGGTCAGAGGCAGGAATTTTGAGCATTTATTGTAAAATGTTTTGTTTCCTACAAACAACCATGGAGAAATAATTGTTTTAATACAATTATTTCACAATCGTTGTTTGTAATAAAAAGATACAGGATGTAGATGTTTTCGAATTTTAAAAAGAATTAGTAAAAAAAGTCAATTTTCTTATAAAAACACAAAATAAATTATAACTCTGCAGGGGTTGAGCTTAGAGACCTCCCGTAGAACAATTTTTTGCATCTGATCACCTCATCTATCCCCTATTTGCGTTTGATCCACGACTTTTTGGCTCCCCTGTATACGAAATTTCATCGACGTCACGAACTATATACGTATAGTAGTATCTTGCTAATTTTGCACATTTAAGTGTAGTTGAATAATAAACTATAGCTCACTAACTTACCCGGAGTTTTAAACTCCGCATTTGCGCCATCGACAGTGACTCTTCCGTCTCGACCCGTTCTTCTAAGTAAAAATTCATGCCAATGAGAGTCATCTACTCGTCTTCGAGATGCCCGCACTCTGACTCCACCCGAACCCAAGTCTACATGTACGTAGATATAACCATTCAACATCTCTACAGCGAAAAGGTCGGCCTGAAATTAAGGTTTTCACTAATATATGAAGAGAGACATAGAGAAGCTGCAGCTATATTTATTATGAAAAACTTGTTATTCTTATAAATTAATTGTGTGTCAATTGTGAAGAATTAAAAATCTACATAAACATTTATCTACACAAAAGTTTTTTCTGTTATTTTCGCTTGTATCTAGGTTTTACATTCACTACAGCAAATTCTATATTTTCAATTCAACAGTTTATAAGAGGAAGTGATTACGTTTCGTTATATTGAAAAGGATATGGAGTATGTAAGTCCTGCCCTGCGATTCTGCAACTCACTTTTCGAACTCACACAGCGGTTTTCGCATCGGCGGTCGCTCTCAAATCAGTCGTGAAGCAGTCATTTTATGATTTGGCATTCTGATAAACAGTAAGACTACAAGTTTTTTGTTTTCAGAATGCCAAATCATAAAATGACTGCTTCACGACTGATTTGAGAGCGACCGCCGATGCGAAAACCGCTGTGTGAGTTCGAAAAGTGAGTTACAGAATCGCAGGGCTGCACTCGCTAACTAAACAGAACTTTATAAAAGTTATAAACGAAAAACAAATGCTGTTATAATGTTTCAGCCTTCAGAATAAATTACGAACTTATTATTGTATATGATTTAAAAAAATATTTAGCGTTGCACGAGATGCATGCAATTTATAATAGGCCCACATAATGCCTTTGAAAAGGTTGCATGCAAAAAGCTTGTTAATATTACAAAGAAGGTAACTTTTTGTTATGCCTAAATTACAAAAAAATCTATAATCTACAAAGCAAACGATCGTTTGTTAAATTTGAGGAATAGGAATAAAGTGTATGTGAAAGTTTGATGTGAATTTGTGTAGGTATTAATAAAGCCTTTAATGTAAGCTGAAATAACACAATTTTGTACCAACTTTGCTGCAATAGCTTAGGCTGGGTGCGAGGTTGCTCAGGTTTTGTGCTCAGGGTTCTACGTGCACATTGATTACAATAACATAACACTTTATTTTAAAGTGGGTGAAACTTTATAAGGTACCATACACAAATTCCCCTACGTTGTCGTGATTTAATTTTGTTATCTCATCACCTACCATGCAGCTTCGCTCGGTGGATAAACATAAAGATGAAACGGTATTTGTTTTCAAATACCGTTTCATCCATTAGCGAATCGTTGATTGTAATCTTAAACCCTAATTTAGTTATCCACTGAGATTAGGCAATTGCATTTTTTTTTTAAATTATAATGATCAACCCTTCATAGTATGTGTAATGCAATCACCGTTTATTAAGATGAACATGAATTGATGATGATGATTTATTGATATTAATGACGATGATCAATGATATGATCACTCGTTTATTGACGGTCCAACCCCAAAAGCTTCACCCCTTACCGTGCAACCTACCCTTGGAGGCTTCGCGCCCATGTTGAAAAGAATTAAGCCATTCGGTTCGTTCGTGCGGAACTTGAATGAAATCGTGCCAGTTTTCACCGCTTCCCACTTCGGCAGGATCTGTAGAGAATAAATGCTTAGATTACCTGTTACAAAAATCATTTAGACTTCCCCCCTCGCGCTCCTAGGGTATAGACGTGTCACGTGACGATAAATTAAACACTTCTTCTTGTGTATTTAAAAGCAGTTAATACATAGTAACGAAACTTTTGTGAAATAGTTTAAATACTAAATAGAATAAACGTATTTAATATCAATAATTATTACCAACAAATTCAAGAACAGGTAGTTTATAAAATATTTAAATGTGCGATTAAAGTGAACGTTAACACAACGCATTGGAGCGACCGGCTTCTGTAGCGTTGTTAAAAGAATTCAGCCCAAATCTTTGTGCAGATTCCTAATTTTGCTATAAGTAAAGTTACGCCTAAAATTAGGGATGCATCGATACGCTTTTTTGCCGATACGATACCGATGCCGATACACTTATAGGAATATCGTCGATACCGATACCGATACCAACGCTTATTGAATTAAAATTAAATTAAGGTAAAATATATCAAGTTAAGTTAAAGTTTATAATTTTTATTAAAAAAATATACATATATACAAAAAATAGTCACAAACTTTGAATAATTTTAAAGGTTTTGTTACTAAAACTAAGAATTAAGTGTAATAATTAAATTAAAATTAAATAAATAACTGTTAATAATTAAAATTAACAATGATAACATTGTTGTAATTCTGTAGTTCTGTAGTTGACTCGAGTAAAAATTTTGGTCTACTAATCAACCCAACAAGAGTTTTTCGTACTAACTACTAACTGACGTGAGACTGATCGTAAATTATCGTGATTCATGTGCACTTTTTATTTTTCATGTAGACTTTTTTTTAGTTTATATGTAATATGTATTTTTGCCCTCCTTTTCATTTAATTATGTTTAATTTTGTAATGCAACAAAGTGTTAATAAATAAATAGTGTTTAGCGAAATGAAATACATATATACATAAATAATAATGCTTTGTCCCCAAGCGAATGATAGAGACAACAAACTGAATAAAACTCGGGTATTTCTCGGGCAACAATAGTCCGTGGCTCGTTTACAACAAACTAGATCATACAAAATGCGCGTTTACATTATTTTTTTAAAGCGTGAAATTTGAAAAATATCGGTGAATCGGCATCGGTATCGGATGCATCCCTACCTAAAATATTCATCAATACAATGCAACGCACTCCACGCAGTATATCTGTTTACCAATAAAAAGAAGAATCCCCTAACGAAGCGCCAAAAGCGCAAAAGAATTCACAGGAGGAGGAAGTAAGTAACTGGAAAGACAGACTCCTGAAATACAGTTCTTACTTCATAATGAGCCTGGGATACATGTTTTTTATGTTATCTGATTTTGGCAATACATCAAATTAATATTATTATTTCAGTTACTGAAAGTGTGTTTATAACGTAATACATACCTATTTTTATAAGGCACAAAGTTCTTACTTGCGTGTAAAAATATAACACTGTACATTGACAGATCGTATCAAATTAATTATTATAGCTCCATGAAATAAATAACAATTCAATGAATTAAATATTATTTACATGATTACGGACCCTTGTGTCGCTCAAGGAAAGGTTAGATATTGAATGTCATAAAAACTTAATAACTTTAGTAGAAAAAACTACAATTGTTGATAAATCAATATACTTCCAGAAATGTCTCTGTTTACAAAATATAGACGTTATTATAAAAAAAATTATATCATTCGTTGAAAACCATAAAAAAAATTCTTGTAAAAGAAAAATAATCGAATTTGTCATCATCAGAAAATATGATAATAATGATTGGTTTAAATCATTTTTAGAATGCAATCCAATATTATATATTATTGTCATATCCTTTTTAATAAATATGTTAAAACGTAATTATTTATTTTGGTATTCTGCAAATGAAACAATTGTACAATAGATGACTTCGCAGTTAGTGTTAAAGTCAATCACTGTACATTGATTATATTAATACGTACCGTTTCGAGCAACGTTCAAGCGTCCACATAAACCGAATTTACTTCAGATCGAATCAAACACTGAAAGCACTCAGCTAAATTCACTCAGCACAAAGCGGCTTTTAAAGATTCTATGTTCCAACCGTTTTCTCTAAAAATCTGTATTTTTAATTTAGGTATGAGCCAATATGGGGACTAGACGAATTTGCCACACATTCGTATTACACCGATCTTTATATAAGTTAGTAAGGAAATAATGGTAATTACTTACATACATAATTACGTCTGTAATATATAAGTCTTCTACAGCAATCAAAAAACATATTATTGCAAATAATGTACAACTCACTGTCAGTGCAATCAATTGTCTGTGGTCAATATGTTAACACTAATTACATTGTACGACCACAATAAACGTTTACATGCCCAATACGATGTCAAATGGGAATCATTTGCCGTTGTTTATCAGATTGAACTGTAATTATGGCTTTACTTCACTTAATGTACTGAAATTCTAGAGTTTTAGATCCAGCCTCTCGAATCGAAATTTTTATTATTCAATGTGAAATTGTAAAAACAGTATCGTCTGTGATTGCGAATAATGTTTTACGAATATTTTTTGTTATTAGGTGATTTTTTTAAGTCCCAAAACCTATTTAGTTTCAGTATTTATCAAAAAAATACTAAAAAAACTCGTGTGCAATTCACACGTGGTAGAAGTGAAACCTTAAAAAACTAAAATTTTATAATTAATAATATGTACATTAGACTTTTTTCACTGTCTAAATGGATTAAACCTTTCTTTTAAAATAAAATATATTTTAATGTTAAATTATAAGTTTAATATCAATCTTTAATTTGGTAAAAACTATAATAATGAGAGTTTGAAATTTTTTGAAACGAAAAAGCGACTATAATTTAAAGTTTATACACTGCGCAATGCTTCCCATTTCATTCTCTCCCACGCGAAATCCTACGAATTAATGCGTATGTTTCGTTTTACTGTCGCTTTTTCCGTTGCATCCGGTTTGAAATCACGATTCTAAAGAAGTTTCACTTCAAAAATATAAAATAATGATCAAAAAGCATTTCCTAAATTTTAAATAGCATTATTGTTGAAGTCAATACTGAAGATGTAACTCAATACTGATGAAGGTCAGTTCATAGCCGGACATTATTGCAAACTATTTTCAGTGTTTACTTACCAAATGAGCTTCTTTGGTGGAGAAGGTAACAGGATCTGCGGAGTCGGTTGCTGTGCAGGCGTACTCCAGCCGACCGGTCACCGTGATGAGCTTACTGCCAGTCCGCGCAAGATCTATGAGGTTCAAGCGAAGAGTGTCCGCGGAGAACTCAACCTTTAGATTAATAAAATTGAAAGCTTACTCTACATCTATATATATATAAAAATGTTATGTTGGTTTGTGTATTCTTTTAAAACTCAAAAAGTTCTGCACGGATCGAGCTGAAATTTTTGCATAATATATAATCTTTTCAATTTTTTTTTCCACAAGTATTGCAAAATTAAACTTATATGAAATGTTTTCTTTGTTTTGTTTCTCATTTCTCAACCATTCAATCACAATGTGCCACAGCGAAGCGTGGCAGGGTACAGCTAGTTCAATAGAACTAGCTGTACCCTAGAATAGTACTTAGGATAGAGAAAATTATTGCTTCAAAGAATAACCCTTAATTTGAGCCTCAAATCGCATACGATTTTGATATTAGTTTTAATTATATAAGTGCTTAATAAGTGACACATTTCGTAAGTTTTTTAAACCTAGAAAATAACACTAACGCAGTCAGGATTCGAACATTAAGCATTCCTGAGTTTAAATCATAATATTCTTTACCTATTTGTGGTTTATATAAAAGCTCTAAATACATTAATTTATTAATAAATCAAATATTTACATTGTTTTTACTTGTTTACGAAGGTTACAGATTAATGAAATAAGTATTCCATGTCCCGAAATCAGAAGGATGGTAAATGGTTAGGTATCTGACCAATATAGCTCTCTAGAGATACAATATTCCCTGTACAATTACAGTCTCGTTTCCAGGCTTCTACGAAATATCATGAAACAGACTAACTAGTAAAGTTAATAAAATTAAATGCAATGAAATAGAATTTCAGATATTCAAAGCTAGCTTGTTATTATTAATTTTCTTTCTCTTTTTTCTTCTTCTCACAGTGGTTGCCTGGAAGAGATCGCTCGAAAGCGATAAGGCCGCCAGTTGCTCTCATTTTTATTTAATTATGTCAATTGTACTATATTTATGTATATGCAACGAAGTGTTAATAAATAAATAAATAAATAAATAATTTACTGTTTGTACTTTAATGTTACATATAGTTATTTTAATTATTGTTTTCTAACATAAATTGTCAAAAGTTAGTCAATCAAATCAAATACTGTCAAAAGTTAGGAAAATGTTTGTATTTAATGAACTTAATGAAGATAATAATCACTTATAATACCACAAGAGCTTCAAAATTATCGGGTATTTCCCGATAGGTTCGTTGCAAACAAATGAAGGAGTCAAGTTTTTCTCTTTCGAAAAACTTGACGACTTTATTTGTTTGCAGGGAACCTTGAGGGAAATGCCAGATAATTTTGAAGCTCGTGTTATTCGGGGATTATTTTTCCGACCCAAATGTCGGCCAATAGAATTGCACCATGAGACGAAATGTACAGTTAACAAATAAGAATTTCATAATGAATAAAACAACTACTTAATACTTTTCTTGAAGCAACTACCAGAGAAAATTTTCAAAAAATTATCAGTATAATACCATGTAGGTTGTACCACGTGACGTCGAATGGTGCAATTCTATTGGTCGATATTTGGGTCGGAAAAATAATCACTTAAGTTTCACTCACGGGTGGACTGTTCATAATTGTCTTATCAAACTTAAATATCATACCAATAAACACGCAGCATAAAGGTCAATTCCGTGGTTTATTCCGAGACTTTCCAAATTGAAATTATACCCACTGCGTTTATATATATAAATTATTTAATATATTTTTAATTTATCATATAATTCTTGTACTAATAGGTGGCTTTTATATTCCTAGATTGTATACATAGGTCTACACAATCTAGTTTTTCCTCGTTTCTTTTTGTATATTAGGCTTTTTATGATAATGTATGATTAAATAAACAAAAGCTAATAAACGTGTATTTTATATGTATAAGAAAACATGTGTGTGTCAGTGGCCCTACAACCATTTAGACCGTCTTAGATTTCTATCTTAGTATGTTTTTTTTTAAATAGGTGACCGGACTTTTATGGCTGACACACACCACCGATTATTAGGTCTTAGGACAACTAGGTTCCTCACGATGCTTTCGTTCACCGCCAAGTGAGTATTAATTATGCATATTAAGCAAATAAATGACCAATATAGAAGGAAAGTACTTATGTCAATTTCATATTAATAAACAAACTAATTAAATCTATGATTTTTAAAACTTCTATAATACTGTATTTTGGTGAGTACCTTTTTAATAATACTTCATTAAGGGATATAGATAGGTAGATCGATAAATCGCATTATTAAAAAAAATATAAATTTACATTAAAAACGGTTTATAATCAATGTGTATTAATTAAGAACCGATTATACCGAAAAAGGACTACCACAAAACCTTACCTTCTTTAGGCATCCAATGAAGTTGGTATGGACTCTTGCACCAGGCAAAGCTCTAGTGTTGAGAGATCCACCGACGTGCGCCCGAGAGCTGGCCAGCATCGTGAATGAACCAGCAACGTGCGCGTGCTCAGAGTACACGTCATCTACGACTGCTGATACCTGGGAAGACATATTTGATTTAGGAATAAAACATTTGTTTACAAACTGTAAATCTCTTAATAAAAAAGGATAAATAGTACCATCCTCTTTCATTTATGAAATATTGAGTGTAATAATCTGTGCATATCATATCAATAAATTGTTTAGCCATAAGAAAGCCTACAATCGTTCAAACCTGAAACCTGAAACTTCGTACTTCATTAGATGCTGGTTCTTTAACGCATACGAGAAACAAGAAGAGAATTTTATTTAACTTTTAATTTAATAATTGTTTTGCAAATTCTAAGTTTAATTATATTTATGTTCTGTCCGTAAATCCGTAACTAATTATCAACCCAGAACTACCGTTAGAATTCTAACACAATAGCTTTATGTACTGTATTTGAGATGTATGATATTAATTCACTTGCGCTGTTTGTCGGTAAACATTGGTTTACAACAAAGTTATTAGAACCTTGATGTCAAGAGATGTTCGTCATTGCTGAATTAATAATTTATGTTTTAAAGTGTATATTATATTTTGTATATTAAGATTTATAACTTGAAGGATAGTTTGAATCTAATGTTATGTATATAAAATTATGATTGCAGATGTAAGACTAAAATCCTCCTTGTGACTTAGTGCCTTCTTCGTCTAATTAACTTCTAAAGGGTTTGCTGGTTGTGCCATCGTTACGTCATCGAAGCAGTTCCCGGCAAGTTTTTGTTACATGCGCATTAATATTCTCTATAACTTCTAGCCGTAGCAGCCTTTCGAATCCCTTTTCATTAAATTGTTAGGGTATAATATAGAAAGGAGACAGCACTAAACCGAATTCCTGTACGTCAAAAGTGTATTGGAATTTGGTACTGTAAGTATACTGGAAATATAATTCCTCTGCAGCAACGACTTACTACTACAATATACTCGACAAGTAAACGACAGATAGACTCAAGCTCTAGTGTGTACCAATAAACAGTAGAAAAGTTAACACAACAAAAGTTAACCTTATTAGTCTTAATATGTTATGCTCGCATACATTTTTTTGTATTCTTATTTAGGGAAATAGATCAATCACTCACAGCTCCAAATTTGTGTAAAACGGGTCAGTTACCCGTCAAATTGCCCATGACCCACTTTTGTTGAATCTCGTGTTTATTAAATATCCAACTACAATATCTTTTGATAGAGTATTGTGTGGTACCGGGCTCATTTGTTACGTTATTACTGTAGCCCTGAACGAAGTTGATAGCAATACAAATATCGTTCATGTTTATACGTTAATACCATTATTAAATTAAGATAAATTAATATATTGATTATGTTTAAATCGATATATTTAAAAATGTTATGTTGGATTGTGTACGCTTCAAAAACTCAAAAGTTCTGCACCAATCGAGCTGAAATTTTAGCATAATAGATATATAATCCGCATCACGATTGTTTTTATCTATTTTTTTATCATTTTTTTTTTTTTTTTTTTTTAATCCAATTTTTTTCCACAAGTATTGCAAAATTAAACTTATATGAAATGTTTTATTTGTTTTATTTCTCATTTCTCAACCATTCTTACCTTATTAGTAAATTAAGTTAGACTTAAATTACTTATTAGTCTTAAGTTAGGCTAGATTGTAATGTTCCATGATGTCTTAGTAAAGACACATGTATATAAAAAAAAAAAATCTCAACCATTCAATCACAGTGTGCCACAGCGAAGCGTAGCAGGCAACAGCTAGTATAATATAATTTGCTTCCGTACAGTATTTTGACTTATATTTTTATTTTTTAAATTAAGTCATTATCTAATTCAAATAAGGTATGCTAAAGGTTGCTTTAGCTCATGACTACTTGACATATAAAAAAATTCTTAGAAGTTATGGGTTCCTGCACTTAGTTGTTGGGGATTACGCTCCTCTGAAATTGCTTCCCACAACTGATCCCTTTTCGGCAACTCTTTCAGAGTGCGGAACTCGGCCCCACCTTAATTTGATTAGCTTCCCTACCGTAACGACTTTTAAAAAATAAATACTTGCCAACCATCCTATCACATAATTGTGAATTTGTATATTATACATTATAGTTCTGTTTCATATTGTAATCTATATATATATATATATATAAAATTCTCGTGTCACCATGTTCGTTCCCATACTCCTCCGAAACATTTCAACCGATTATTATTAATTTTTTCATGCATGTACAGTAAGTCTGAGAATCGGCTACTATCTATCCATCTTTCAAACTGGGTTCTACAAAAAAAATGTTTACACAAAAGTTTTTGTTTTTATTTTTTTATGATACAGCATCCAAAAAAACATACAAAACTTAATTTTTACCCCTCTAACCCCTATTTTTTATTACAATAGATAGTTATTTTTATTTAGTTCCACCAATAAAATGTTTGTGTAATTTTGTCACATCTATTGTGTATTAAGCAATACATAAATAAAATAAATTGTATTCTTTTGCCTTCATGTTTGTAAATGAGAAAAGTCAATTAGCCAACCGTAGATTTTCATCCCGAATGAATAACTGCGGGCAACCAAAAAGCTGTTTGAAAACTGCCTTTATTGCTTTAGGGAAGTAATTTTTGAAGACATACTACTGACATACATATTGGTAACGAGTAAAGACCTTAATGTACATGGTCACTTTACTTCCTAATAGAACGTGGGACAACATATTTCTGCGCCTATTTTAATTAACTTTTTTGAGACAAGTATGTATCATGTGCTTGGTGGTTGTGACGTACCGGTTTCCTTATATAGCTTTCTTTCTGCGTACGAGCAAGCGTTATTTACGCACATAGAAAATTAAAAATAGAAATATTTCTATTATATTTTCTTTTATTAAATAAATAGAAAATTAAAAATAGAAAACTACTGATAAAGAATAAAATAAATACATTATTTTATTTATTTTCGTCGACGTAGACTCGTGATACCGTGAATCTATGAAAAATTTACACAAATCGGTACACTGTACGTAATAGCGATTTTTTTTTACTTAATTTGAAGAAAAGCAATCTAATATATAATAAAGAATAATAAACTGTTATTTATTATTAATTTGTATACTTACCCGACAAAAACTGGTGAAAGGCGTTATCTGTAAGAAGAAACTCACATTTATAATATTCTGAAACACTGAAGCAATATTAAGCATCTGATTTTTTATTTATCACATTTCTGTATCAGTTACCTGGTCGTCCTTATTACATATATATTTGAAATGAATAGCGCCGAATGCTAAGTTTATTAAAAATATTTTTCTTATATGAATATTTATTAAAGCTTATGAAATATCAAAGGAAAACATCACATAACATAGAAGTGATAAACAACTCAACACAGAATCGATAGTTTCAATCAAATATTGAAGCCATCCATTCGTCACGCACGAGTTACTATAAATAACCAAAGCCCTCGAACTTATTGAACTTAGTAATAATATTGTGTGTAACAAATAGGTGGATTTTCGTAGAAAGGGCTTTGTTATATTTCTCTTTATTTTTACGTAGAGCTTTATAAAATGAAGTGAGTAAATTTCATCAAAATTGGCAGTCCATTGTCGAAAGAACTTTATCAGAGCGTTCTAAAAAATAAAAGTAACTTAACGCCTGATGTAATTTTTAAGGTGTCAAAACAACAAATCAACACTTACTTCCTGTATTTTTCTCCTGACTGTAAGTTTGTGCCACTGGTGGTCATCGAATCTCGTTTTGGAGGGCTTGATATGCATCTCCTGCTTGCCATTACCAAGTCCCATTGTGAGAGACAGGCCTCCATCTCGTACAGCTAAGTTCAGGTAATCTGCTTCATGTCCTATGAAAACATCTTTATATTATTGTTACGTCAGTGTCAATTCTTCAAGTACATTCTAGAGATACAGTTAACGACTGAATTAATTAAAATTGTCGTAAACGTAATTGTTTAATTTGAATTGGTAATGTGTTCAATAAGCCTAGTTATAATTTTTCCAACATTTTTTAATCTCCATCAATCCATCCTTTTATAGGCTCCATCTATTATGGTGGCAAACTTTTGTAAATTTTTCTTTTCATTAGTAATATAATATATTCACCATTGATAGTGAGGTGCTTTGCTTTTTTTTAGTATTTTTAACTAAACCTCAAAGCACGGCCAAAGGCTTAAAGCCAAGGTCTAAAGCTTGCTTTCGTTCTACGTCCACCGTAAGATGTTTTGTTAGCAAAATCTTAAACTAAAGTCAGTCACTAACTACTCGTAGAATCAATAAGCGATCAGTGCAAGCCACACTGAACTGTGTTATACAAAGACTGGAAAAGGAGTAATTTTGTAAAAATGGTAAGATATTACCAGTATAAAATAGGAGTCCGTTAGGCTGTCGTGTCTTGAAATACAATGATATGGCATCCTGAGTGCTGACTATGGGTTCACCTCCAGTCTGCGTGAGATCGTATGAGAGGAACTCGGCTCCCCTGAATGTCGCTTCTGATGGTGCCTTATCTGAAACAAATCATCAATAGAACTACACTCCCACACGACAACTTTCTGCATTCAAAATGTTTTAAGTGAAAGTATACAACATTTTATAAAATTGTCATTTGAAAGCTTAAAACTTCAGCTTTATGTGAGACTCATTATTAATTCCATCTATACATTTTTTTTTATTGATGTCTGAACAATGGGGAAATTATTTGGAAAGTTGTATTCAGAATTAACACAAATAAAACATGTTTTTTTTTCTTAAGAAGTATAAAACTTATTGGTTAGTTTTCGTTTGTCCTCTACCCTAAACTGTATCGGCTCGACCTTTAAATTTTTGACGGTGTCTTGAGGAATACTTTCCCATTCCTCTAAAAGCTGCCTTCATTATTCAAGGCTCGAAGGGCTATTCCTCTCGTACCCTTCGTTGAGCTCATCCCATACATGCACGATGGGATTATGTCTACTACAGGCCAGTCCATTCCAAATCGACTTCTCGAAGAAACTGCTGAGCACGCTTTGCTCAGCATTGTCTCATAAGGATGAAGTCTTCGCCAAATCCTGCGTAGGGCACAACATTTCCAGGAGATTTTGTAATGTACCCATCAGCTGTCAGTCCTGCTCCTCGGCCTCCTCAGCTGAAAACGAGCTAGGTTGTCCCTCCACACCCCCCACCATGCAAGAACGCCGCCATAGGCAACGGTTTCTGCGAAACCCTTGGGAAATCGCTCTCCGACGCCTGAGACCACCTCTCTTGTCCTCCAGCCAACATTCACCTTGTTACAGGACGACCCATTGCCCAATGCTCAGTTAAGATGCTCTCAAACCGAGCTTTCCGGTGGCCTGCAGTCAAGTTGGGGCCCGTTGCAGGCCTTTTTGGAGTCAGGTTGGCTTCCATCAGACGTCTTCTTACTGTCCACTCGCTACAGCTATTCCTCGAACACGTCTCAGCTCGCCCTGACGTCGACACCGTAAGGTGCTGATTTCGCAGGGAGGTTGAAACAATGAAACGTCGTCTCATTCAGAAGACAACCGTGGCACTGGTTGTTGGTCTCCGAGTAATGTTTCAGTCTCTTGATGTCGTACTCGGGATACACAGACTGACCAAAAACTGGGAAGTGACACTGCTGACTGAGTCCTTGTTCCAATAAGGCAACAACTGAGCGGCTTCTGAGGTGTGTTCATGGTTTCTTAAAAACAATGAAGCAGGTTCTGAGATATGTATCGGTCACTGTTTATAAGCGACTGAAGGGTGGAAAGGACGGGGGTATAGGGGTAGAGGGTAGCGCAACTGCTGGTAGCGTATGGTAATTTGTCCCATACGCCCTAATTGCCAAATTAACATTTGGCTTTATATATTGATATTTTTTTTAAAGCTAGGTTTCAAGCTTTCAAATGACATATTATATTTATTTAAATGTTGTATACTTTTATTTAGAACCATGTTTGAATCTAGAGGTAGCCTGAGATTTAGTTGCTCGGTGTAGTAAACAGACAAAAAACTTCTTTAATATCTACAAGACAAAACTTTTAAAGAGGCATAAACTAAACTGCTTAGCTTCAATAGGTGCGGACTACTTATGTTATATTTTTAGTATATAAGTTTTAAAGGCAAACTAAAGATTTAAAAGAGAAGTAGGGAAGGGGATGACGGGTCTGGGCGTTACTGCATACGATTTTTTGCATTTTCTGAGAAGACTTACTATGGTAATATATATATATATATTTTTACCATAGGAAAGTAGAGATTTCAACGAACTGAAAGCACACCAACTTTTTGAAAAAAGCTGATATTTTGACGGGTGAATTTTCGATTGAAAATTAGGGTGTTTTTTCGATATTAATTCAAAATAAGGTGAAAAAATAAATATTTTTAATCAAATAAATTACAGCGTATTTGGGACAAAGAAAGGTAAGTTTTCACCAAATTTCGAAAAAAAAATTGTAAAAGATAAAAATTAAAAACCAAAAACTTGGTTTTTTGAATTTTTCACATACATTTTGAGGTTATGTGAAAAATGTGTGAATACAAAAGTTTTAGATCTTTTTATTACCTACAACTTTGCCATTTAACTTTCTTCGATAGGACTTTTAGTTTTGCCGGAAATCGAAATAAACCGTTTTTTACCCTTAAAACTACTGGAGTGGCTTAGGTCTATTAATATTTCTTCACATGCTATTAACAGGTTCTCTAACTCATATAGTATATTATGGGCACCACCAGTGCATTAATACCAGCGGTTGCCTGTATCAGTTGAGTTTGATTGAATCTGGGTTCCCGCAGGGCGGCGTACATTCTCCGCTTCTCTTAGCTATTTATATTAACTTCATATTTTTCGTTATTTCATCTTATTTTCATTTATACGGCGATGATCTTGAAATCTACGTTCAATCAAGTCTGAATAAGGTCCCGCAAGCCATACAAACTATGAGCTGACAAAGACAGCTGACTGAAGATTAAATATTTTAAAGATTTTGGTCTCCAAATCAATCCCAACAAGAGCAAAGTTATCATAATTGGCAGCCTTTCACTTCGAGAATTGATTGGACTAAGTAACCAGGTACATATCGACGGTGTGTCCTTAACAGTAAACAATTTGGGGGTCTAACCCTAACTTTCCTACTAACTGATTTGAAATTATCGTGATTCATGAGCACTTTTTCTCATTCATGTGTTATTTTTTTATTATGGTTTCACTGTTTGTTTCTTAATGTTTTAAGTGCTTTGCTTTGTTACATTGTTATATGTCTTATGTAGTTTTCCACTTCTTGCGCTCAAGGTGAGCTAAGATCTAATTTAATTCGTTTTCTCATAGTGGTTGTCTGGAAGAGATCGCTCAAAGGCGATAAGGCTGCCATTTGTTCTCCTTTTTATTTAATTATTTTAATTGTACTATCTTAATATATATATTTCTTCTGTGCGTGTGTATGTGACTGAACTTCTCTCAAACGACTGGACCGATTTTGATGAAATTTTTTGTGTGTGTTCAAGGGGATCTGGGAATGGTTTAGATTCACAAATCAGCCCGGTAGATGGCACTGCAGTCGGTACTTTCATACTTTGCTTAATATCCTAATCGCTTTAAATATCATGCAGGACAACGTCTGTGGGGTCCACTAGTATTTCTGTATATTTTGTTTTACAGAATAGGGGGATATAGCCCATGGACACTCTCAATGCCAGATGGCTCACGAGTGCCCTGCCGGCTTTTTAAGAATTGGTACGCTCTTTTCTTGAAGGATCCTAAGTCAAATTGTAATATTTGCAATGAAGTGTTAATAAATAAATGAATAAATTCCTATTTCTAAATTACTGTAATATTGTATTGAGTCTTTGGACGCACTATAAATCTTCACCCACAACTACAATTAGACTACAAAAAGTATAGAAAACAAAATAGTTGTCTATCAAGACTATTTAAGAATAATATAGTATTAATACAGCACGTGTGGCTATTATAATAGATAAACACTGCTGCTGTCGTTATTTAGTTTTGTAATACATTAAAATGTAAACGTAAATTATTTGACATTTATTTACGGAAAACTGAGTTAACTAATATACAATATACTACTTAAAATATAACCAACTATTGCAACAAACCTTAATATCATCTAACTTAATATCATTCGCAGTTTCTACATGCATATTGCAACTCGAATTGAATTTTCCTTTGACGTTCACAAACATAGCCCACATCCTCTTATTTTATTCACGTTTAATGTATCTACAAACATTTAGTATGTGTTAGGGTCACCGCACACGGGCCACCGGCCACAGCCACAAAACGCCGCCACTGGCTATCAGAGATACAATCCCGTTCTGCGATTTGGGATTCAAAAAGTGATAGTTTTAGTAATAGAGGAGAAAAAGTGAAGGCCTGGGAAGAAATCTGCGAATTGTTTGTGGGAAATTTTTCGAATAAAACTGCCAAAGAAAAGAACATTGAAGGTAAGTTTAATAAAATAATATAAAACCATATATTTATTCATTCATAAAATAATCTTTTAACGTATCTCTTGCAGTAGACGCTCGTGTTACTGGCCAGCCTGTATTTTGTATATTTTCGAGTCCCACTATTTTCAAAGTGTGACGAAAATTGAAACCATCCCTTTTGCGAATAAAGTTGTGCAAAATGCAACAAGATTTCACAATGTCTTCTGAGAAATGATCAGAAGTATTTAATGGGCGATGTAATATTCTCCATTTGTTTGCTAGTACGCCGAAGGTACACTCAATGCAACGTCTGGCACGGCTTAACCTATAATTGAAAACTTTTTTGTCTAAGTCCAAATATTTTCCAGCATATGGCCTCATCATATTTTCACTGAGGCCAAATGCTTCATCACCAACAAATGTATAGTTCAATGGTTGTCGATTACCGACCTGTCGTGGTGAGGGGATATTTAATGTCTTTCTGTGTATCCAATAACTACGGTTTCATCTTCTACGACGACGTCTTTTTATTAAAAGTAGCGCGATTAAACCTTCTTCGTCAGAGTCCATTATGATACTGCAGGCAAGGGTTAAAAAAAGGAGCAGCCACCGACCGCAAGTGTCGACCACCGGCCACAAGTGGCTGTCGCGCGCTACAGCTACCTTTGTAGCCGATTCTAGCTTCTCGTGGCGGCGTTTGTGGCTGTGGCGTGTGGCCCGTGTGCGGCGACACTTAAAGTTAATGTAAACGGTGACCTTGATTGTTATAGTGTCAACAAATAGAAGATAGATACATAGTTGTTTGGATGGCATCTTGAACGTTGTACAGCACGTCTATGCTTGCAACAATTCAAGTGAATATATTTTAGGTAATATCGAGATAGGTAGAGGTTACGCTAGCTCATTAGTTAATGTACTCCTCAGAACTATTTATAGTTGATTAGATTATTCCCCACGGTTCCACAAACTAGAATTCAAAACCTTCAATTAGCAGGAAAATCGCATGTCATTTGACGCATTGTTTTTGACAGAATTAAACGTGTTTTATAAATTGTTATTTTTGGACACATGAAATAAGCTTGATTGTGCGAATTTGATACCGGAATTTTCTAAATACTATAGTATAAGTTTTTTAAGAGGATTTGTTGGTAGTAACCAATTCTAGTTCCCACAAAAAACGTATAACATGCAGGCATGGAGTGAAATTCAAATTTCCGCTTGCTTCCAATCATTTGACTCCGGCAGTTTCCGCGAGGCCGCGTTATGGCGTCGCAGGAAATAGCGCGAACATGACGCCCGGATACTTGTCCTGCAGTCGCTTCGATTAATGTCAAGTTTGATTTTAAAAGCTTTTTTCTCTAACAAAAAAGCTAAATTTTATTAAAAATTCATAATTATAACCTTATTTATATTAAAGTTTGGCCCATTTTTTTATATACATATAAGTTATAAGTTTCAAATATGTAAAGAATTTACATCTGTTAGCCATTTCCTTCATATAAAGAAAATTGTGAAGGATCGTGTAATAGATTACGGAAGATATTCTATCGAATCCAAGTGCCCTTTGGTTACCAGATGGTTTAAAGATTACGATCTCATCACTCTGATGATAAAATAACAGTGCCTGTGAATGAAAAAATGCCGAGAAAATAATTCCTTTAAAAGGGAAATACGCAACATAGTTCTTAAGTTTTATTTGTTCTAAAAAATATTTATTTACACTACTATTATAATTACTAGAAACTTGCATTTTGAACTAAAATTTTAAGTAGTTGTATATTTAATTAAATTTCTTATTCTTAATTGTTTTTCATTCCTTATTACACACAATAAAATAGTAACATTCTCGCTATATAGATATCGAGTAAAATGTAACTGTTTTTATTTGTATTTGATCTCAGTAAAGTAACAATTGAATACACACGTATGCCAATGCAGTAAAATTCGTCATTTTGGTGGAAAAAGCTCGATAATCCTAACTACTCGTAGTATGCAAAGCACGGCGAAGCCTAGATTGCCTTCAAATAAAACTGAATCGATTCCGATCGAAATGGCGAGCAGTATTCGAGCCTTATATACGTAATGGTTACAATTCTGCTATTTCATGAAATTTAATTTAATAAATGGTATAAAAAGTTTAGACTTATTTTTTAACATCAAACTATCATTTATTTCTACTACTTACTCAATACAACATCAAAAATTAAATTAACCATAATAATAAAAATGTATAAAAAAACAATTGTCCAGGATCAGCATTACACATGGCGTAAGAGCACTTACATTATTGTGAGAACGACACGAAAACAAGTAATAGACAAAATAGTGTAGAATGAAAAAAAAATGTTAGCAGGAGCTGAAGTTAATCAGATCTGTTGTTACTGTTGTTACTGGGTGTATCAATCAATCAAATCAATCAATTCCAAGCGCCATGGTAAAAAAATGGTATTCCTAATTGTAGCACTAAATAAAATTTCAATTTTAAGTTCTATACTCAGATATTAATTTATTAACTTAGCTTACAATAACCTCGTATCATCGATTAGAAGTGCCAATATAAAGTTTTATACGTTCAAGCAAATATGGAATGTACGTAGAACTCGGAAAGTAATGACTATTTCGCAGAATGCAAAATGCCAAGGGTAGAATGATGAATACTTGGAAAATTTCTAGCTATTCACTTTTTTTGTGGTACTTTTCATTATTATAAATTTTGTTTTTAAAATTCAACGTAACATAATTCAACTACAAAATTCAGTTCATTCCAAACAAACTGAAATCTGAAGCAAGTATTTTAGTCAAAACAAAAGGAAAAATATTTTTTATTTTTTTATTTTATCTCCATTTACAATATCTATATAATATATCTACAATGTATGTACATAAATTATAAAATTTACGAAGATTTTCTTATTCTTTGCCTTGGAAAGGTGATTGTACTTATTTAGAGGGCTTTTCTATACTAATGTCAGCCATCAGTTATTTCCATTCGAATGGGCTCGACAAGCAACATTTATAACAACCCTATTCGTGACCTCGACCTTTAGGGGTTAATATTTTTTTCCAAGGATTTTTACATTTCTTTTGAATATGTACTACTGGGAATGTACTGTTTGCTAGTTAACGTTATAGTTGATGGAATTTTTGCGCGAGTGAAGCCGAAATCAATAATTACAATATTTACGCACCAACTTTGGTTATACGATTAGTTTAAAAGAACATACATAAAAAACGGGTTTAATTATTCAAAAATGCGATGGAATTAATGAAAACTAAACAGTATTATTGTATTGGTTTGATTCAATCAATTTTGTATATACAAATAGAAACCTTCCTGCAAGTTAGTTACACAATCAAACTTCATCTTAAAACTCAAGATGAAAATGTAGGTAAAAGGTTTCCTTTTAAGTATACGTGATACTAAATTGTAGCGTGGTTTTATGCCATCACATCTTTAGTTCCAACAATGCAAGTGAATCTTTCTTTAAGTGAACTTTGTCTTTATTTTTACGGTAGGATATGAATACCCATGTGTTCCTGCAGGGATATTGTATGTATATTGTTTATGTATAATGTATATATAATATAGGGGCATAAATATAGCCTTTATTTTTAATTTTTAGTCGCTGTTTGAAGTCGGTTTAATTATTACAAATTACTTCTTTAAATATATTTTTTTTTCTTATAGTACAATTTTCATAGAGTTCTTTAACTTAACAGTAGTAGGGGAGTTCAGATGTGTAATTTAATCGAAATAACAAATGCACATTTTAAAATATCTAGTAAAGATTAGTGCCAACATTACGAAGTCGCAATTATTATATGTTCATGTGAAACTCTGGTGAGCTGCACCTGTAGGTAATGATAGGCAAAATGACCTGCATTTAGCCGTAGAATTAATTTTGTAACTTTTTCTTGGGTTTAAGAAAGCGCCATTTCAACTTGCTACTTACATGAAATGTAAATCCGCAGCGAAAGTTACGAAGTAACAAGAAAAACTAAGATATAAAAAGAATACATTGTATACTTGTATTTTCAAAAGAAAAGCTTTTAATGTTTTGTCCTTATCCTTATACGAAGTAGAGAGCTCTTTTCATTATTTTTTAGGGTTTTTCTATAACAGTGGTGATTCGGAAGAGGTAATTACCTCACTAAGGTATCTTATTATATTAGTTCTTATATATTATTTAGTATCTACATATTTAAATACTTATTTAATCAAATACTTTTTATATTTTCAATTATGTTAAGAGTTTCTTTTTTAGAGATTCGGCTTTTAAATAAATTTAGCTCAAATGACATCTTTGATTAAAACCGCATTCTATTACGATATTTACAATATTAATAATGATAATAATATGTTTTAATACTTAAATGAAACTCTTTAATAGGTAATGACTATTCTTTTTATAATTAACTTAAATTGTTTTCGAATGCTTAGCAGGAATCGTGCTTTATTTAATATGAGTATTTCGTACAGTATACACAATATTATTAAGTTTTTAATACTATTTACGTGAACATTTTAATTATTCAATTACTCGCTTTATACTGATATATTGCAATACTGGAAAAAGTATATACTGATTTACAATACAATATAATGCGGTCAGTAGTTCATTAAAGTGATTTCGAAAAGTTTTGATTGGATGTATGTTTGTGTGTATCTCTGTTTTTCATTATATACAATAAATACCAGTCTATAGCTAAAGTATGTCTTTGCAATTACCTCGCTCACAAAAGGCCCCTTCGTAGTCCCCATCACGACACTCGCAAATTGGTCCATCGTCAGTGCTAATGCAAACCCCTCCATGTTGACATGGATCTCTACGTTCACAGGCATCACCGCTAGCATTTATTCTTGAAGACTGTAACAAAAATATGTTATCAAAATGGATTGTATAAAATCCTTTTCACAACGTGTGTAGGCGCAAGGAAGGTAAATATCTATAAATAAATTAACAAAGTTAAATATTTACATTTGTTACACAAAAGTCATTGAATTTTAATATAATCCAATAGCACAAGGCCTGAATAACACGTTCACTAGATCTTAATAATGTTAGGGCACGAGTTTGACTGCATAGCGTGATCCATTTAACTATTTGACGCCCAATGTGTGACGATTATTCCAAACTAAAATACGAAATTAGTTTCAATAAATCTTAAGCTTATTTAAACTTACTAATAATTAAGTTATATAGACCTCATTGCCATACTTTTGTACCTGCTTTTTATACGAAATGTTTTAACATTTCAATCGGAATATTTGAAAACCCAATTACGCTCCACAAATAAATTTCGTAATGCCATTTACATTCGCCCACGCTTTGAATACCCTTCGTAGAAAGCCTACACGTCATTTTGCTACAATTTCGTAGGCGTTGTGTAGGCTGGTGTTACGCTTTATTGACGACGCTACGTTGCTACATTATAAGTTTATTTCAAAGACGAACTATGGTATAGACCAGGCATCAGCGTACAGCGTGTGAGATAGCAAATGATCAACATATGTCGCATTTACAGTTTTAATTCATTGAAGATTGCTTATTATTGACCAAAATACACATTCGAATGAATAATTCTTGAACAAAGTTACTGAGTCGTCAAAATAAGCTACTTACCGATGAAAGGTTATGTTTGGTTATTTACGTTCACTATAGCTTTTACAGCCAATTATGCAACAATTCACCAAGACTGACACTTTAAATACACCTCTTATAAGGATAAAGTCTTAAAATATGGGTTTGACTTGGGTTTCACAGATTTATCAGTAAGCGGTGAAAACTTGTTTACCACCAAGGGCTCGGTGGTAAATAAATCAAACCCGATACGCAAATAGAGACAGAAAAACTGATACTCTGTTTTGCTCGCACTTAAGTATTTCACGTTAATGCCTTCTCTCTTTAGTTATTATTGTTATTTTAGAAGCTCATCTAGTTCTATACTCTATCTACGGTTTATTTATATATAAATACTATTTAGACATTTCATTTGACAATGTCCCCATTTAGGAGCTTGCCAAAATCTCAAGTGTGACATATTGGGACTCAAAAAAAGTCGTAAGAAAATGAAGAATAAGTAAGAAGTACAAATAAAATTTATCCAAATAGATACCTTAAAAATATCAATATTAAGTTTATCTATTTAGGAAATTCCTTAAGATCGTGTGCGTGCTCCTATATTTTAGTTTTTTAACTATATAACTTATTTTTATTTAAATCAGATTTACTTTAAATTGGTTTATAAATTTATTTATAAAGGATATCAAAATAGTAGTTTTTTTAATGACAATAACTTATTCGTAGGAAAATTCATCAAAGATAATAAAAATGATGAGTCAGTCAGACAGTCTGACTAGACACTATAATCAAAATAAACAGTCTTCAATACAATGACACATTCCAGTGACACACTTGTGAAATAGTACGTGTCCTAAAATGTTTTTATTCGTGAAGCCTTTCGACCCATTTGGCAAGTTGGTTAGTATACACTAGATAACCTAACGGAACGTAATAGTATAGTTTAAAAACGTTTGCTTTCAAACTTTAGTTATATTCTTAAACCTCGATTTATGTGCGTAAAACAATTTGAAAGAAATTATAAATTTAGTTAATTACCGAGATTACGTAATAAATATCATAATACCGTCGTAAAACCTTGCTTATTTGTAGCAACTAACAGACCAATTATATAAATTTAACTGACTGCGTATAAAGAATTTTAAGAATGCCAAGTTAAAGAGTGTTTAATGTATAATAGTGTAAAACCTAAATTAGCCTTTCTATCATATGGATTTTTTAATTATAGATATTCTTTTATTATATGGACGTATGAAGTAATAATACTCCATCTGCTTAGAACATAAATGGTGCGAAACGTCAGCTGTGAACGTTTACATCGAGTCTGCCTTTAACTGTAACATGAACAATGAAATCCTTTTTACTTTATTTCTTCATTGACTTTTTGCATTATATCTGTCATCTGCGAATCCATAGGACATACTAGAATAAAATATGTCAACTTAGCTGGTCCCGTGCATTTTAAAAAAGTCTCTACAGTTAATTATAAATTATCTAGAAATGCTGATAACTACTTCCTTGAGATTTAACTTCAATAAAAGCTAAAACTTAACCTAAATGTCACTTTAAGCTAAGCTAAATCTGATATAAAATAATAATCGAATGATAAGCTCGTAGGAAGTATAATGGTTAGGCTAGGAATATAAAAGATGAAACTGTTACCGCGCCTCCCGTCCATAGCGAACAGATGGGGCTGTTGAGTTTTAGTGGGTAGGGGTCCATTTCACAACACGGACCGACCCCCACACTCTCCGCGTCACTTTTAACGTTGCCCCGGTGTCAGTAAATTGATTATATAACGGTTATAAAAGATTAATAAAAAACATAAATATTTTTTATCATTACCCTAACCTAACCATGAGAGCTATGAAATAGCAACAAACCTATTATCTAATCAACTAAGGAATAGACTCTTTTTTTCTTCTATTCGATACGCATTTGATACCGGAGAATTTTTTTAAAAGGCTTAAACTTTATTAAGCTTTCAATGTCTTGATGTTGTGACATGTAAAAGCTTTTGTACAGACGCTTTATGTTATAGGCTTGTCACTCAGAACTCGTTGAAAATTTAATAACACTGGAGTTCGCCGATGGGAAAAACATGTCCATTAATCGATTATGCCTCACACTGCCTTTTTTGACAGCTTGCTATCCAAATTTTTAAGACTTGATTTATTTCCGTTTAAATGTTAATAGTTTAATAAATAGTAACCTTTAAACTATATTAAACATATCATACGCAATATACTAAATTTATGTGACCAAAAACTATAATACGATTTTAATAAAATACAATTTGTAAATTAATTTACGTTGTATGAAAATTACTTGCACCGATGCACGATGTGCCGTAACGCTTCTACCCTGTGTCGATTATTTAAACAAGGTCGATTGAAAATTATCCCAAGTAAGTGAACCTTCTTGTTTGAATTGTTATGATTTAATTAAAATTATGGTACATAACATACCTATAGTATAGTAATCAGTCGAGTAGAAGTTGGATGTCTTAAAGTTAAACGATCAGAAATATAGACGTAGTAGTACATATTTGTAATGTTATTTGAATATATTATATGTAAACAATAAATATAATAAGCAAAAGGTGTTCGAAAATCGAATAAATAGTGCAAACATTGTTTATTATTTCGAGTTATTGTAGTTCCAAGCTAACACTTTTATATAAATTATGTTTTAATAAAATTTATTTCCCTGTATTCATATCTTGAACCTTAAACGTGATTTGCAGTACTCTTCAGCTAACACACATTGTACTGATTAAAATGAAACAATATTTTGTTGATCATTGATTAACCTAATTTATCTCCCAACAAAAACACGCCTTTCTGAGATTTAAATTTGTCAGTGTTTGTAATTAATAAAAAACACATCAACTAAGCTTTGAAGAGCTTTAACAACATTTACTGCCCTTTGATGGTATTTTAAATCATCACATGTATCGCGTTTTACAAATTTTTATAAAATTGGAATTGGAATAAAATTGGATGAATAGATCTGATAAAGTATTCCAAGATTTCCAAATCCTTTCATTAATAGAACATTTTACCATCATTAGATATATAATAATACATAAATAAGATAATAACAATCTGCTTAAAGACCCGTCTCGATAAATAATGGCAATATAACACACATTTTGATCTCTTTGAAAATAAAATAAGCAATCACATATACAAACGGAACCAAAATTCAATTTTTCTAGCATTTGTGCATTTTATAACTACCGTGCGTTAAGACTTAGGGCCAGTTTTTTGATCCGTAGTAAAAAATGGTTTTACCATTTGTTACATTAACTTAGTTAAATGAATAACCATTGGTAAAATCGTAAATGCGTTTTTCAATGCCTTTTTTACTATAGTTAAAGTTAACAATTTGTCAATTTGTTGCCAGTGCAATGAGCAATGACTCCCAAAAAATGTGGTTCTTTTTGTGGGGATCATTTATTTTGTATGACAACACTAGACAATTGAGTGAATAAACATTTTTGCCATCTTCATTCGTTATTTGCGCTTTGAAGAGTTTGAAGTGTCAAATTAATCTAAATAACACGATATAAATAAAGTTGTTTTTCTGTGATTTAATACGGTTTACACTTTTTACGATACTTAATATATAAATAACATGTCCGCAAACGCCAACGGTCAAATAAGTAAGTTCAAACATATTTTCGTGTTATTTATTCCGGTTTATCTTGTGTTTCGTAATAGAAAGTAAACATTATGTTTTGTTAAAGGGACCTCTGCTAACTCGCCAAAAAGAAACTGCCAAACTGGTGATGCTTCTCAAGGATTACACATCTAACCTGCAAACAACTGATCACTGCAGCAATCTACAAAAAGATGCAGCTTGGAAATCTCTGTGACGTTTTCAACTCAGATGGGTCTAGACACCGAAGTGTTAAATTTAATATACATTTAATGAAGGTGTAGGCACATTTTTATATTTATTCTTGTATAGCTGTTCCTACAAAAAAGAAAAAATCTTTTAACCCTTTGGAAAAAGGAAGCGGATAGACCACACGGATAAAAAAAATTGAGTTTAGAAACAAAGATAAAGAGGATGATTTGTTCAATTATGCTTAAGAAGACATCAAAAACATTTGCTCCCAATGGAGGCCCACCAAAAATTCATACTGCATAAAGAGGAGGTGCACCAAAAAGTGATGCAGCAGATGGAAGAAACACAATAAATATATGTAGCAGCAAAAAGAGTTGCATCAAATTGAGGTGAAATGCAAGAAGAAACAATTAGAAAATATTTAATTGCTACTTTAGGGTTTCATGTAAATTTTGTTATGTTTTTTTATTAAAAATGGTTTGTATTTAAGTTATAATTAAACAGTTTATTAATCAAGTCAAATGTTTTATTTATAAATTCTTATTTAAAAAACTCACAAATGTAATAAAAGCCCTAAAGAATATCATAGGTCCCTAACTAATGTGTAGCTGTAGTTTTTAGTTAAGTACATACTTGTATGTACTTATAATAATTATAAGTTAATATTATTAGTAATATATAAATAATATTAACTCTAATTCATTATGTATTCTATTGCCTATAATATTAACTTATAATAATTATAAGTTAATATTATAGGCAATAAAACACATAATGAATTAGTAATATACTTAATTATATACTGCTGCGGTTCTGTAGCTAGTAATGAAGCAAAATAGGTTTGTATGAGCTGCTGTCTTATATACTCTTGTTCTTGTATTTTATTTAATTATAATAATTATAAGTTAATATTATAGGCAATAAAACACATAATGAATTAGTAATATACTTAATTATATACTGCTGCGGTTCTGTAGTTAGTAATGAAGCAAAATAGGTTGGTATGAGCTGCTGTCTATATACTCTTGTTCTTGGCAGTTTAAGATCATTCCCAATTTCAGTAACAATCCAGAGCACTGTTCCCTTCGATAGGGGGTAACAGTGACAAAATCTCTCTCCCAGGTTTCTAATGGCGGATGACATTGCCTAAATATTTTTGGTCACTCATTCACATTCTCATATAATATTATCGTCTTCTTCATCGTCTCATTAATTAAAGTATCTCAATATGTTTAAATTCATCATTAGATAGTAATAAACGTATTTATCATAGTTTGATTTCTTGACAAACAGCTGTTAGTTATAAATTACCAGCGGCCATCTTTTAACCCTCGATACTGAGTAGTTAACTTTTTTGACTAATGGTTAGATATTTTACCATTGGATGCTCTTACCACGGATCAAAAAACGCATTTTGCTGATATTTAACTAATAGTAACGATTTTTTACCAATAGTTGAGTTAACTACGGATCAAAACCGGCCCTTACTCAAAATTTTTAGAAAATATTTTACGTTTTTTTTTTTTCATACAATATATTACACAAACAGTTGCATAACAAGCTTCAGATAAAGCTAAACCTTTTACAAGTTCTCTATGTATTATTATTAATGTATAACTTCTAAAGAAAATGAAACGATGCAATGTGTTCAATCATGTAATTTGAACACAAAGCATTTACCGAAGCTACAAAATTATTTATTTCCCTGAGAAAAGTAATGAATAATAATATCCACTTGACCAGTGTTATACAATTGAGGTGAGCGCTTTAGAAAAATATTAAATAGGTACAGTTTAATGTTAAGGAAAAAACGATAAAGGCTGGCTTCAAATTAATAAATAATTGTAAATAATTTACGCACATTTTAAAATTTGATAGTATACGGGTTGAATTAGGTAATGTATTTTTTTTCCTTACCGATGATCCGATTTCAAATAGGGATCTCGTATTATTAAAACATTTTGGGTCATTGTAAATGCAATAATATAGAGATGTTCTGTTCATTTCATCATTCTGTTCGCATTTGCTTTAATTGTGATTCCGTATTTCCCGAACTAGAATGAGTTTTGTTTTATACTTTTACAAGCTTAAAATTCCTGTAATTGCAATTACTTAACATTTTAGATATAATCTACAATAAGACTAGTGTGAACTCGAATTGATTTATCAAAACTTACGTAACATATTTATCGACCGTGTGGATCACATCATCCGGCAAAGAAAACCATTTGCTCTTGGAATTAAATACGATTGGCATAGGTAGATCTATTCTTAAATAACTAATAGAAAACGTTTTAAATAGTTGGTGGCGCAAAAATTAATTTTAATAGCACAGTCTCTAGAGTTCCTCAAGGATTATTTATTCGAATGTCGAAAGTCTTTAAATGTACCCGATTATAGAACTCTTTATACTGACCTGTTTCATATCCCCTATTTTGGTACATTTGATTTAAATTGAAATAAATGGTGATCCGAAAATAATTCTCTAAATCGATATTACAGTGATTTATTATTAAGCTGTGAGCGGAAGCTAGAAACTACAGAGTTATTATGTTAAAAATATATGTCACATCGCATATCTCACTGTTTTAGCAATTTTACATGACACTAAATTATTATGCATATATAAAAAATAAATATAGTGCTATTCAAATTCACGCTATGTTGCTTTGCATCCAATTTATATGAACAAACACATCCATTATTAATTCAAGTAAGGTATATCACAATTAATTTCGTAATATGAAGTAGAGTACAAAATATTCAGATTAAATTGTCCCTGTAATTGTGACACGTCCCACGAATAAATCAGAAAGATACTGAGACTTCAACTTCTTTTTTTGAGCCACTTTGTGAAACATTCAAGTGGTAACGACTGCATTATCAACGTTAATAGAATTTTTTAGAATAAGTTTCATTACAATTATCATAATTTATCGTGAGTTAAGAATCGAGTAATTCTGTGTAATTCTCAAAGGCTAATTTACGCAATACTCGCATTCACAGACTACTTTCGTGCAAAAATGAAACTCGGCTGACTTACAAAAATGCTATCACGTTTCACCGTTATATATCTTAAGGAAAAATAACAGTAATTGAGCCATTCAAATAAAAATAAAAATCATATCCTTTAAAAAAAAATATTCCTATTTTCTCTTAAGCAAATTGAAGGATCTATGCGATACGGCACATTCAGCTACAAATAATTATTACAGATAAGAAATAAGTTCCAATTTGTGTTTTGGGACCCTTGAGCCTAAAAAGTATCGTAAAAGGTTAAGATAGAATTTTAATGCGTCTCTATCCTGTGTGTGTAAAATTTTACGGTTAGATCAAAGACGTATCTCGGAAACAAGGGAAAGAAGGTATACGTATATATCAGGTAGGTTTTGCTCTTCCAGAGATTATGTGGCATCCAGACGCAATTGCTCTTTTTAATAGGATGGGGGCAAACGAGCCTACAGGACGTCCAAAAAGGGCTGTCATAGCAAAGAGTATGCTCTTTTTTTAAACAATTGGAGATCATATCTCCCAGTGAAGACACCCAGATGGAATCGAGTCCACAGTTCGCTAGTTCTCAAAAAATATCGTGTGAAGCGGACCATGGAAGACTTCCAGCCATCAAGGTGATGCAGAGTCAATCCAAACAACTCTTCAGAACACGCACACACCCACATGCAATGTGAGCAGTATTCCATATGAGGTCGTACTTGAGTCTTGTAGAGCTGCGTACGATGTACTTCAGTGTAATACTTCATAGACCTACCCAATACAAACAGCTTTTTGGAAGAGGCGTCGATAGTGCTATCGTCCGCAAAGAAATGGTTGTTATCGATGTTCAACTGGTCATTGATATCCAAAACGAAGAGGGTGGGCGAGAGAAAACAATCTTGCGGCAGTCGTTCCGCATTGACCGGTCTAGGATTTGAGCACGGTGCGTCAACTAGGACTTTTATGTTACGTCCTACAAAAAAAATTGCCAGCCATTGGCATAATCTAACGGGCAAACCGAATTACGGTAGTTTCGACAGAAGTGCCATATGACTCTATGAAAAGCTTTGGCTATAACCAAGCTAGCAGCCTCTCGCTTACTTTCCACAGCTTAGGCCCATCTGTGAGTCAGATAGGCCAGAAGATTGCCGACCAAGCTCGGGAAAGCCAATCCCTACTGACGATCTCTAATTAACTGGTTTCCCCAGCAGATATCGCACAAGCCGTCTATTGATGATAGACTCCATTATCTTAGAAATTTAAGAAGTGATTGCCTAGACTATCGTCCTATCGTCTATAGCTGTATGGATCCGAGCGGTCGCCTTTTTTGGAAATAGAGTGAACATTAGCAATCTTCCATGAGATTGAAACTACGCCCGAGGAGTACGATAGTTGAAAGAGCCGTGTGAGCACCGGAGTCAACCACATGATCTATATGTCGGTCGACGTCGGTGTTGCCGCTGTGTGACCTGTATAAGTGTATAGGCATCAGTTGATGCGATAGTCAGCACATTCTTCGCGTATTCACAAGAAAGATCGGACTCTCAAATGTGAGAAGCGACAGAAATTTCTATTCTCGCGAATGTCCTACCCACTAAAGCCTGACGGATGCCTTCAGCGCGCCGATCGACGGGGACAAGTAATAGCTGAGCCATATCGCCACACTCCGCCCCCAGTCCCCGAGCGCCCCTTCCCTCCTTTTTGTATTTAAAAACCGTTATAATGGACGTGAACCTCTCTTTTGTCTTTGTGCAATAAGTTATTATTTTTCTTCACGTTTACCATTAAAAAAAATGCCATCACCTCAACAAATAGCAGTCATCACTAATGCAAATGAATAGAGTGAATTTACATATTTCTTAAATAGTTATATAGCTAATTATTAATATAGTTTACATTTAGTGATTTCCATACAACTTAAATTATTTAGGTTACCTTAATAATAATTTTATTTAAGAAAACTATTTTTTTTAACCTCCAAAGAGACGATTACAGGCAAATGTGCAAATTTTTTTTATTATTAAGGTAAATTCATTGAATGTTACCTAATTTGGTTTGATAGAAAACTTACCAGCTAGGCCTTTGTTTCTAATAACCTTATTTAATACTGTATATTGTTCGAAGTCCTAACCTACATACTTTAAAGAATAAAAATAATTGCTTACTGTGTTTCTTAGTGTTTCTGTATTTATAGTTTTTCTCATTGAGTTATATCACTTAAAAGGAATCCATCATCCAAACCATATTGGTTTATAGACATCCTCAACCCTATTGTTAGATGCTTATCTTTCTTTTATGTCCACGGTACGTAGCCATGAGTGAATCTCCTTTTTCTTTAGTTCCTCAATTGGGATTCCTGGCCGGCTTTCGCATCCAAGCATCATGTAGAGATTGTTTATTTTTGTGTCCTACATCCTTCGGATTCCTACCATTCCCTTTGGTAACACTCCAAAAACTCTAATTCGCGTTCGTTAGACCACATTGTGCGATACGTCCTGTCACAACCACAGTCATCGAGCAAGTGATTGAACGAGTGTGTACAGGTCGCTCTCGTTTTACTCGCGAGACCCTTTGACTCGTGCCAAAAACCGACAGGCGACCGGAGAGGCGAGACCGACTGCGAGGAAGCGAGGCGAGACGAGAGCTCTACTGTACACTCTCGCCCTCGGCCTGTCTCGGGGTGTCTCGCCGAGTGTGTACAGCTACCATTACATTACGGATGTAGCGTGACTCGTGGCAAAAATTGTTGCTCCTAATAATAAGTGGGAGTGACGGATTATAAGGACGTCCTAGACGTCAATCGTCCCCTCTTTGTCTCTCAAAGTGGGTTAAAAGTGTTTTCAATAAATACACATTTGAATTGTTATTAAATTATTTAAGCTTTGATGAAAATTAATCCAAGAGAACAATAGTTTAGTTAGAAAATTTATGTTTCATGAACATGGGAGAACATAGCACCAAAAAATGCTATTTTTTTTACATTTGTTAATGTCTGTCACCCTAGAAGTGAAGTTCAATTATTTCGAAATGAAAGACGAAAGATTCTAGAACCTTGAACAATAATGGGGCATGAAATCTTCGAATTGAAATAGGTCAGCTAAATTGAGTTTGAGAGGTCGCACCAAAATATCGAGCAGATTCATACTTACATTGAAATCTAACACTAAATTAAATCTTGAAAGAGGTTTTAAATTGATTTCCAGCTAAAAGGAATAAAATCATCAGTAACTCAAAGTTCTTGTTAAATAAAGTACATTTTTGAAGCTACCCGCTGAAGTTTTTTTGTTTTATAAGTCTTGCTTCTATAGGCTCTGCATACAACACACAACTGATGAGGAAAATACCATAAAGGGAATAGACGCGTCAAACGGAGCAAGAGAGATGTTGTTACAAATTTATATCAATAAATCGTGAATCTAAATAAAAAATTAAGTAATTACTTTTAGGTCTCTGGAATGTCGAAGTTCCTGTCTTCTAGGTGGCTGACCGGGAATATCCGAGTAGACCAGGTTTCTTACGGCGCCGCGGAACTTTGGCTCGAAGATTACTGATGGAAGAGCCAGGGCTGTCAGCTTTGCATTATACCTGGAAAATTCATGTCAAATTAAAGCTTTTTAAAATTCTGACAATCAATCTTTCGGTTCAGTTTTGTTTTTTGTTATAATATTGTAAGTATACAAAAGTATGTACTCGTATATTCATTATTTAGGTACTATTGAGAATACGACCATCATTTTATCTTCGGCATCCCCTAGGAGAAATACACAATATATGTGTTTAATATTATATAGTACAATTTATTGGCTACAAGTGTAAAGTGTGATTAACATTTGGGTTGCACTTCTAATTAGTAACTATATATACTCGTATATGTAACTTAACTAATACTAAACCGCGGTACAAGTAAAAAGTTGTTACAACGATTAACTCAATGTATTTAATTCCAACACACTAATAATATACAGTATAAGGATTAACTAAACTAAACATACACAATTCATTTCTCAAAGAAACATCCACAAGAACTAGACAACCGCACGCCAAATACACAAGCGGGACGGACAATTTATCAGCCATCTTCTTCTAACAGGAGAGGCAATATATCTTGGACTTGACACACTCACCAATGTAATTTGAAATTGCTTTCCAACACGGATTAGATGCCTTTATGACATTTACAGCCTGTTTTACACAAAAATGGTCGATATGTAGGTATGGTACCATACGTAACTAAAAATAATGCTTATAGAGGTAGTGGGTCCGAATGTTAAAAGATTTAAAAAACCCAAGACGTTTACGTAGATCAGGCTGTTTCTGTTCGAATAATTACTTATAGAGAATTTTCCCCATTTCAACATTCGTTATGTTTATGAGATGTAATACAAAATACCAATACGATTAAAAAATGTAAAAATTCAATTATCTTTTACATACTCATTAAATCAGGTTTAAAGTAATTAGTACTGCCAAAAACTTAAACTTATTAAATCTAACTTATCTAGTGAGTTTCACGTCATACTAAGCATGAGTAAGACTGATCTCTATCTCCATAAACAATCAAAATATAACGAAATAATTAAACATATCAGTTATTCTTTATACTGTTAAACGAAAATCCAGATAAAGAACAACTTGAGTTGTATTGCTTGCTCTAATTTAATTTTGACCCCTCTGAGTGCTTCGGGCATCTCAAGATAATTTCTTGAGAACTTGCCAACTTGCCATCGATATAAGTTATATGATTATATATAACACAGTTCTAAAACAACATCATAAAACTAGTTACGACCCCGATTTAAATTAAACAAGCGGATTAAACATAAAGTTTGCTGTTGTATTACAAAATGGACAACTTCTTTCTCGCAAAGATTCTTTGGTTTCCTAGGCTGTTACTTGTATAATAAATTAAATGAAAAAATTAACATTTACCCACTACCCAAATATGAATGTAAAAAAAAGGTTACTACTTGGCTGAAGACGTTGAGTTATGATGAAACAGAAGATCTAATAACTGTTATTCTGTAACACACCCACTCCCCCACACATATACACACACCCACGCACGCCACACACACTTAGAGAGAGAGACACACACACACATACACACACACAAACACACACCAAATTTATTTTTAAGACTCCGTTTGTAATGTTTTCTTTTAGCACTTAATACTTATTTTCTTCTATTGTATCTTATGACAATGACATGATTGTACGTGTTCCGGTCCGGTGTGGAGAGGCTGGCTATCTGTCACTCAGGTCTCCTGTTACAGAGACCAGTCTCTCACATACACTTCCTAATGTTATTATCTTGGCTTTTCTAAACACAAAGGTTTATTATTACTTGGACTTTTACCACAAAGTCGTAAAATACTTAAATATGTGAGAATAGCGAACATGGTACTATTTCTTTATTTGATTTATTTTGTATTTATTTATTATATACATGATCTTAAATAGAAAATAAGTTGGTGTGGTGAAAACACAAATTAGACACAGGTTTTCTGTCCACCAGGACGTCGAACATATTTAAATAACTAACTTATATACTAAGGCCAGTGACATATACACTATAACATAAAACACTAAACAATTTTTAACCATTAAAATTGTAAGTAAAACGTCACAAACCAATTGAAACATTGACGCTCCACAGTTAGCCGACGCAAGAATATATATCCTAATTGAATAAACGTCATTATAATTAACTTGGGCACGTTCCTCGGAAATAAGTCATGTTATCCCGATCCAATAAGCTAAGTGCAGTCTTTTGTGGGCGATTATATTGTATGAATGAGGTTTCAAACAATAAAAATACATTGTGGTTTCATTGTTTATATAAAATAAGTTTATATAACTAATACCAAATACTATTTATTAAATCAAAATACCAGGTAATCGTCAAATCAAACAATTTATTATAAATTAAAATAAAGCAGATATTTAATCAAAATAAGAGTATTTTTAGTCGATTTGGTAGTCCTTCGTAGTTAGTAAAGACTGATGTAAGGCACTGGTATGAAAAAAATTATGTAATTAATAAAATTATCAATAAAAAGTTTTTATCAAAATTTATAATTACATAAAGAAAAGATAATAGTATACTTACAGTAGACTTAAAATTAAAAGAAAAATTATATGGCAAGGCAATTTACTACTTTTATTATTAAAAAAATATGTACATTAAAAGCATCACTGAATATTTCTACGTACTTGAATTCAAAAGTGGTAGTAAATGTATGTTTAGAACTTCAATTTGTTTTTATTAACATTCATATTTTACCTATAAATAAAGTTTTATTTAATATTCAAAATTCAGCTTCACATGAAAGGATGATAGTATACTTTTGAAAAATATCCGCATTAAAGCCAGTAGATCGGCAGTGAGTCGACTAAATCGCTTTAGCCGGCCGACTGCGGCGCAGTATCAATATCAGAGGTATACAATAGACGATATATATCATACAATCTCCCCCATCCGTAGCGATCGCGTGACCTGGTTCCCGCTTTAGGTAGGCCCCTGGCTTGACTGCGAGCGATCATCTTTGCCGACCGGCATCACTCAGCCTGAAGCCTAGGTTGTGGAATTTTATGAGCCTCTAATTCCTCTAATTAAATATACATATATTTACTTAGTATTGAATTTAAATAAATTGCTTGGCTTTCTCGTATTTTCATTACTATCGACACAAAAAGCAATACAAAACGCAGTTCCTATGTCGTATTTTTACAATTGTTTGTCTACTACAAACTAGATAAAAATATTTATTATAGTACAGTAAATATTATATATTTAACTTGTAGTCATAACTGATGGAAATAATGATAATTATTAAAATTGATAGAAACAATATAAATTGTATTATAAATAAATATCTCAATATTTATTTGAGCAAATTCTAGGAATAATTGGCGTAATATAATACATTTAGTTATAGTTATATATTAATGTGTTAACGGATTTTTATCACTTTAACCTTAAAAACTAGACAGGCCAATATTTTTTTAATCCAAAAAAATTACCACTGGGATGACACATTTAACTTTTCTATATCTAATTACAGAGACCGCAATATTGCCATAATTGTAAAGATTTACTCTAATTAATAAAAAATATTTCACCGCCTTCAATAAGGTACTAATTGGTCTCTTTCCATAACAGCGTCAACATTTAACAGATGAGACAAAATGATACTCAAAAATATAATGATTAAAGTACTAAATTTAGACTGATTGTGATAGTTTTTATGAATAAAATATTGTTTTCAATGTGCTATAAACAGTTAATGGATGATCAAAGGCGTCATTTCATCATGGCGATTTTTTTATTGACCTTCTATTTATTAAGTTAAAGTAATAAAAAGTGCGTGCGTACAAAGTACACGTCAAAGAAGTACAACACGTACAAGTGAGACTTGTTTGGCAAACTAATTTTTAAGTCTTGTTCATATTTATACAAATCTAAAACTTTAGATTTCCAAATAGAGGGAGGGAAAAAGGAAGATATGTTAGGAATTTAATTGTCATTAAATTATTAAGTGACGAAAATTAATACAAATAATAAATTTATTTCGTTATTTTTAAAATATATTCGTCATTTGAGATTTCAATAAATTATTTTGCATAAAATATGAAATACTAAAAAAGTTAATTCGCCCTTCTCACTCTCTCTCAATCGCTCTCTCCCTTTTCTTCGACAAAAACGCTACACATCTTCGTGACGTTTTCATCCGTAAAAATTACCCTCATGCGCCTAAAGAAGTTTCACTTCAATAAACCTCTGTTTGTCTCGACCATTTATTTTATAATTTAGTAAAAAAAATACTTTTACAAAGGTATATAATGTAATTGGTTTTTTTTTATTATTATCTGAAAAACTATTTAAAACGTAGCACCTCCTTTTTTTCTTAAATATATACAATCTTAACATTATTGAAATGGATATACTACACTATGTTCGACAACAGGGGTATTTCGCTATTGACTAGCTATGTACGTAGGATATAATTTAGTTCATTACTTTTAGCTCTCTGAAATTGCTTATATTTTGTATTTTTAATAAGTTTTGTAAACGAACAGTCCTCCAAGTGAGGACGTACTTGAGACTTGTAGAGTTACATACCTCAGTGAAATACTGCTAAGCCCAAATCAGCGATATTTTTTTGAAAGCCGTTTAGATTTTTCATCAAGATGGCTGTCGACTTAAACTTTTCTTAACATACTGATGCTGTATTTTTTTTTTTTTATTTAGTTATGACACACAGTCCTAAATCTACCAATTATTTCACAAACTCTTACATCCAAAATGTGCGACAATCAACGCAGGCATAAGTTTCTCAAAAAAAAAAACAAATAGAAATAAAAAAAATACAACTAAAACACATACGACAATACTGTGTTAAAATAAAATAATTTTTTATTAACATAAACATAAAATAAAATTTTCAACAAATTTCATTAAAATTAAATTTGTTGGCACTAAGCAGAAAAAAAAGAAAAATCATGTATGAGGTTTTAAGGAATATAAAAGACAAGTAACGGCCTAGTTATTTACTGATACAGGAGGTCTATGTTATCTCTACCTAGACAACTACTCCGGAAATATCCTCATAACATTTATGGGCGAGTCGGAGCCCGCCGGGACCCACGTTACCTCTCGTGCTATTTATCTTAGTGGCATATTTGACAAGCTTACGGCATAATATATCCAGCTGCGATCTGTGCTCAAGCAACATGTCGGATAGCAAATCCCAGGATACTCCCATGCCAGTCTCGAGCTGTTTATTATAGTTACTTCTAATAGTGAATCGAGCAAAGCTTACTGAGTAAACCAAGGGCAAAATAAAAATGAAAAAAAAACTCTCAACCTATTTGTTAACAATATGCAGTGTTGACACAAAATCTTTTAATGTAGTCAGACAATGATTGCGGGGCAATGTTTGTGCATAATGAGGCAACAACGTGACAACACAGCGAGACATTTAGGTCACCCCGGAATGGGACATTAATTTGGCAATTAAAATCCCTTTTTGACTATTAGGGACTTCAAGTTGTATATATTTAGTAACTTACCACGGCATGTCATAAGCTAAAGAATCATTTTAAAATACCCAGTTCCTCGACCATTCTATGAGTCAGGGGGCATAGACAAGTTAACCTTCGTTACCTAAGTGCCCGACGGACTACGTGTGACCTTCAATCATCATCATCATCATCATGAATGGCTATACAGCCCCTTGGGGGCCTTAGCCTTCTCAAGTACTCTTCGCCAACGCAATCTATCGATGGTACAGTATACCATACGCAATATATTGGAACCCTTATTGTTGTTTGTCCTTGACAACTCCATCCCACCAACGCAGCCTCGGTCTACCGGGTTCTCTCGCCACAGGGTCGTGAGTTCAATAAGGACCATGGGGTTCTGTCGTCCGCCATTCGGTGCACATGTCCCAACCACTTTAGCCTGTTGTATTTTATTAATTGGACAATGTTGGCGTCGTCAAGGATGTTCATCTTGATAAAAAGTTCATCATTGTAGCGAATACGCCGTCAACACCGTCGCGCGTCGTCGCAAACAGGGCCAAAGATTCTTCGAAAATTCTTCCGTTTGAAAATAAGTAGAGCAATCTTGTTTTTCCTTCAAAGGGTTCAGGTTTCAGAACCTTAATTGAGCACTGGTCGCAGCAGAGTTTTGTACAGAACAAGCTTGGTAATCTTTCTGAGAAGTCGCGATCGGAAATATCTACGGCCAAAGGAGCAGCGATTTGCTATCATAATGCGTCAACTGATCTCTCGCGATTATTATCACTAGTCACCATTAAGCCCAAGTAAACTAAGTCCTCACAAAGCTTACGTCTTCCACGACAAAATATACCAGGGGTGTCTTGCAAACTATGCAATCCGATAGTTGGTTTATAGAACTCCAATGATGATTTTGATGTCCCTATTCGGGCACTGGTCCTTAGTTAGTTCATCGCCTCTTCCGTTGGTGCATGTTAATGATGCTGTAATTAAAAAATGTATCTTTATAGCGCAGCACACATAGGCGATCACTCATAGCCTTAAAGTCTATTACTTTGGTTTGGCCTGTCTTACGCACCACGAAACCTTTACCTAGCTTATGGTGTCTCTCATGGCCACTGTAGTATACGGTCAATTCTCTTTTTTGCATGCATCCACTCCCTGTCCATCACATTATATATCTGGTCGATATGGTAAAATTTGTTCCAGGTCTGTTTAAAGTTCTAACATTCCACGTGTATAGGCGAAAACATTGTCCTTATAGATGAGATGAGATCGGTCCGGTTTTATGTACTTTAGGTTTTATAATCGCTTGGTTTTTTACTGTCCCGTCAATCACTAAACCGAAATGGTGAAAAATTTATCGTTTTTTTTTCTTCCCATAATTTAAAATAAGGTTTCGTTGCTTATAACAAGATTAATAAATAATCTGCGTTAAGTAAATAAGCTCGTTTGTAGGGACAGCTACTCTTTAATTGAATAGCATAAAGGCTATTTAATTAAACCATAATTAAACAAAAGCTTTTTTATTAAAAAGAGGCATTTAAAAGGATATACTAACTTGTACGAAATATTACAGATGCATAAATACTAAAACCAACCAAGTATTATCTACTCCATTTATATTAAAAGTTCGCGAAGATTAGACCGTGGCGTCGAGGAAATTTAGGTGATTGTATTAATGACACTATAATTCATTGCTCCATCTTTTTTTAAACAAAGTAATTCAAGTTGTAAGAAAATGCGTTTCTGAATAAACTTTTTGTTTATTGTTTGTTTTCTTTTAGTATCAGACTTTTAGAAACGTGAAAATATATCTACTTAATATTATGCCGGCTTAGACTAAAATCGACCCTAACAATAACTTTACCAATTAAACTGTGCCATAAACATAACATATCATTTCATTTGTAACATATTCCGTGGGCAACTTCATTCTGTTAATTTTGTGTAACGGCGCGCGCGCCCCGAAAAATTCCCCCCCTCCATTCTTCCCACACCCCCCCAAAAAAAAAAATTACCACCAACTCCCCTTTCTTTTTTCCTTCTTTTTTTTTTTTTTTTCCCCCCCCCCCCCCCCCCTTCTTCCCCCCCTCCGTCAAAAATAAATAAAACCAACCCACCCCCCCCCCCCCCCCCCCCCCCCCCCCCCTTTTTTTCCCCCAACTTAACCCCCCCCCACCCAACAATCCCCCCCCCAAACCCCCTCCCCCCAAACTTTTTCTTAACATAGTTCTAAAAATCTTTGAAACTTAATATACCGACCTAAATATTGACTTATTGTACGTAATTTTGTTGTATTTCTCTCAATTTCCGTACCGCTGACGTCGTATAATAACTTATACCATAATATTATGTTTGACTAAAGACAACTAACTGTATGGAAAGGACCAAGAGGAAGACGGAGAAGAGGTTGCCCAAAAAAAAAGGTGGTTAGAAGAAATAGAAGTCGGTTGCAGGAAACGACGAGAAAGAGAGCCATAGACAGAGTCATGAAAAAGCTGGAGGAGGTACCCAAGGGC